AAAATACAATTTTTGGTTAAAAGGAGACGTTGAACTGAATTGTGTGGACCGTGCGGTTGACAGAGTATTTATATAAACAGTCCAGCCCCGGGCCCATTGTCATTGGCATTATAGACCGTCCTTTAATCTGCCGAAAACAATTTCGCACGAATCGTTAAGCTGTTATTGTGAATATTGTTTGTCTTTTGCTCAATCGACTGGTCGGTTTGTGAATCTGTCTGGTGTCTTTACATTGAGGATTATCTAGCAGATAATAGCAGTTTATTGAAAATAATAGGTAACATTGTACACAATACCTACTCCCTCAAATGTCTGCAGAATTTAAACGAATCTAGAGTCTAGAGGACAAATAGTATTATAATAAAGATATGGATTATTACATGAACGTGAATGTTAAGGGAAACTAAAGCAAAATTTTCAAGGTCAACTTTATTGCTACGATAATGTTTAAGAGGACGTTCAAATTGTTAGTAATCTTCATATGGCAGATGCTGCATCAAGCCACGTGCCCCACCAATATAAATCAGAACCTTACAAATTGTTAGAGTAAATCCTATTCCACAAAGTAAAAAAAGCAACGCACGCCAACCTTTTTTCTATTGAAAACACAGGTTTTATCATCGAATTCTATATCGGCCGACAGCTTTTGTCTCAGTGCGTTCAAAATTTTGATAAAACAGATTAAAATCCGAACATTCACATGGACCACAGTGTTGTACAAAGTAGGCGTGTTTTATTTATAGTCTGTTGTGATCATTGCACAATTGTATGAAAAATGTTTTGTGGATCCAGTGACGGGAAATAATGGGCGTTTATTGTAGGGTCATTTTTTGCTGCGTTTTGCCAAACGGTGTCCGAAAGAGCAATTGTGTTGTAGGTTTTGTCTACAGTTTTAGGCAAGAATACTGGATTTAGAGACTTTCGGCACTGTGTCGAAATTTCGATATTTCGATGGTATGGAATTGACCATATTGTGTGTGAACAATGAATTCTAATTGTAATTAGAGTGAATACCTATCGTACGCAGTATGTTTGTACAGCCTGGATGATTAACCTTGAATTATAATTATAGGTAAAATTGTTGTATTTTGCAATTGTACTATACAAGACTGCCAACCTACCTGGCCAAGTTTCTGAACAAACTCATACCAGTTGAATGTTCTAAATGAAAAAGCAACGGTACAATTCCTAATCTACTACATAATAACATGGAGCACGTCTTCCTAAAACCTTACCGAACGTTGCTCAATAATTTCTAAGAAAATTGTCGCAGAACAGTCCCACTCTAGTTCAATATCGACGCGAAACTTCAATAATCGCGTCGTCCATTTTCTATAGTATTAATAGAGTGGGCCCTTGCAACGATAATAATGCCTATTTGCTGTGCTATTGTCGACGTGGTTTCTGAATGGAAGGCGGAGGTAGGCACGTCATTATTCTGTCAGCCGAATGTGGGTTCGATAGGGATTGACATAACCCTATATCGATACTTTTTCTACTTTGATTGTCATGAAAATATTCATCGTTTTGAACATAATTATGTCAAAGTGTAAATCGTTGGTAATTTTATAGATACTTCTTAGAGACTAAGTGAAATAATTATGAAAAAAGCGAATAACATCTTTTACAAAATGTTTAACATTTTCAGTACCAAACTTCGTCTGATAGTATGTATGCTAAAAGTTGGATCAGTCTTAAAATTAAACAAAATATTAAAATATAAACATACTAGCGATATCAATATGATCATCATCATCATATCAGCCACCAGATATCCAATTGCTAACCGTAAGCGGGTATGTCTTACCCAATTACTTTATGTTTTTTTTACTTTAAGTCAATTGACAGCGAACTGCATTCAGCAGCTTTATGTGAAAATAATGATTTTAATTGTAATATTTTTGATTACAAAATAATAACTACATAAATACACGCCATCGATAAACCATCCCATCTCTAAACTGCAACATTATAGTTCCCACATTTTTTGCGCAAGCCCGCAAGGATTACCAAACAATGTGCGTAGACGCAGGCCACACATCATAGCAACGAGCGAAGTTTTTGCTTGTCACATTTAATGGGATTCCTGACTTTATTGTACAACATTTTAAAGAAATATTATTGTAAGTTTAATTCATACACCAGTTTGAAATTATATAAAAATAGATTTGAAAGTAATTGAATAGAGGATTAGAGATGACGGAGCAATTTCACTTGGCCGTTACTTTATTATGTTATTAAATAATATTACATTATTTTAGATGTGTATAGAACACATCCTACTTTGGATTGCGTAGTACCAAGTCCTGAGTTTTGGCATGCTTAGGTAATTTACCTCTATTATTAGTATCTAGGTCGTGATGGCCCGGAGGTTTAAGACGCCCGCTTCTCATACATGAGGGTGCGGGTTCGAAACCTACCAACAGCAAGTACCAATGACTATTTCCGAATTATATGTACCTTCTAAGATTATTTAGACACCACTGACAGACGGTGAAGGAAAACATCGTGAGGAAACCTAGGCTTATAATTTCTAATTATAAGTTTGTAATCGCCAACCCGCATTGCTCAAGCGTGGTGGTTAATGTGCAAACCTTCTCCATGTGAGAAGGGGCTTTGCTCAGCAGTGGGCATTTATAGGCTGTTGATGATGATTAGTACCTAATGTAATGTAAAAATAGAGAGTGAAAATCGTATCATACTTTTAATATCAAGATTAGAGAAAACCTCCAAATCAAATTAGTTGTTACTGGTCAATACAGATTTTAAAGCAGTCCTCAGCCTTGGCAGAGCCAATGAACACGGGGCAAAAAAATTTAAGCAACTTAGCATATTTTGAATAGGTACCAAAAGTACACAATAAAAGTACCCTTTATAATCTAGTTTTTCCTTAATATAATACGATACAGTGGTTCAAAGGCTGAAAATTCTCAAAATCTAACTATGTATGTCAGCCAAATCATTCCATTGATTTAATAAGCACTTGCCACAAATCGTAAAACTGGATCCACTGCATAAAAATAAAAAGGTAGGAACATGCTTTTTACGTCACGATACCTAAACGTAGCTAGATAACTGCCGCCTTACCTACATTCTCTTTAAATGCAGATGTATCGCGCAAAAATACACTATTTTTGGTAGGTAACGTATGACATTATTAGTTCTACCTATATTATTTTTACCATATAGGAACGGAGCTTCCCCCAGGCCCCATGTTACACATGAGTCCCCCACTTGTTTCTTTTCGGAAACAATTTGCAACAATGTAGGCTTTCGAGGCTAGAGCTTCAGCTGTACAATTACAGATGGCGCTGTACTACATTTAAATATTTTTTAAGACCTAATAAAATATGTATTTTAACAATTTTATTAGACTTTGTAAGGAAATTGACATTTGTGTATTAAGATTATTAAACGTAAATATAATCAGGTGGATATACGTAAATAAAGTATAATAATTATGAAAAGTATGTACTTACTTAAATAAGAGAAAAGAAACATACCTCTACAATAAACAGCTAATATTCAAATTCATTTTAAGCAACACTAATGATATCATTCAATCTTTAATCATTTGAAAGCAACGTGTGAACATCAAGGGTTAAAATCCTCACCTTAATTTAATTAAACCTTTATGTAAAGAAAAGTTCGGGCAAAAAGATATTCCTTAAAATGTGTTTCGTTCGACCAAATTCGGCTTGAATCTGATAAAACTCGAGCTCGATCCATTTCAAAACTTTCCTTTTATCTGGCCACAGAGAGGATGGACCGGAACGCCCAAAATTTGTATACATTTATCGCTGAATGGAAACTTCGCTAAATTCTATTTTATATTCAATCTTTCAAGTCTGTGTTCATTGACGATAAGGAGGAACGTCCTCCTTCAGTTTTAATATAACGAAATTAGGTTTGCTTTTGACTTTGAAATCGGGTCTTATTTTTTTTTTTATTAGCCTCATTATACTGTTTGCTGATTTGCTTGTTAAGGATACTTTATAGACTCCTATTACTTCCTTTTTATTAATAATCAAATTTTACAGACTAGTAGCTGACTTCATTCATGCATTGAATAATAATAACATATTTGAATCACTAACCTTTACTTTAAAGAAGATTAATATACCTTGACTGTGAAAGTGATGCTAATTTGGTCCTAATATCAAACCCTGAGGAATCCCAGAACTATTATAGCTTACCTACTTTAACTTGAAACAATAAAATACCCATTATGATATTCATAGATAATTTACATTTTGTGTAAAACTAACTGTTGCTATCGGCTTCCGCCAGGATTATTGGGATAAAAATAAACATATGTTGTTCTAGACTAATCTAGCTAGGTTATTTTTTTTTTCAAATTGAAGAGTAACAAGTATTTTTATATTTTTTATGAGATATGCCGAATATATGGATCACCTGATGATAAGCAATCGGCACTATCCATGGGCACCTTGAACACTAGAGACGTTACAAGTAGGTACGTTACCGGTCTTTTGGGGATTAGGAATTTGAGGATTGTTGGGTATTCTGTGATTGGGGAGATTGCGTAAGGGGGTAATTGGGCCTCCAATAACCTCACTCAAACGACGAAACAGAACCCAAGTGTTGTTTCACGTCGGCTTTCGGTGAGTCGGTAAGGTCGGTCAAACCGACCCATTCGTGCTGAAGCATAGGTATTTTAAATATTAATAAATATTTATATTTGAGAATAATCATTATTCAGCATAAAACTTAATTTATTTTCAATCAGTCATCTGTTACCTATTATTCTCTGATTTATTATATAAAAACATTTATAATTTATGAATATGAATAACGTTGCGTTTTTACTACTTGTACCATATTTAAATCTATTGACAGTTCGTTATTTGCATTAACCTTTAGATTAATGGTTTTTGCATCACAAATTTTTATCATGGGCACTTTTTTAGTAAATTTTAAACTATAAATGCAGTAGAAATTGATACATACCAACATTGCACAATTTAAACTGATCCAAGATGGCAACAGCAATATTGTTGGTTGCAGTTGGGCTGTTTTGCTTCAACGGTGTTATAGGTGAGTGAATCGCATTCGTATACCTAAATTAAATTTTATTATAAATCTATTTCTCTTCTATAAGCCCCCCAAAACGATATAAATGAGCCGCGGAGAACCTAACAGGTTACCGGGGCTCTGGCTTGTAGTGCAGGAGTAGGGACGGGGTGGTTTTTCGCCGCCTCACCCAGGCGGGAGAAGTCATTCGATTATTTTACCCCCTTAAAAAAACGATATAAATACCGCCACTTGATTGTCCGCATTAATTCCTTAGTGGGATCAGTCTTATTTCTGACCAACAACTAATTATTTAATAGAAAAAAAAACACCTTATTAACAATACATTACATTACGCCTTTTATCCCCGGAGGGGTAGGCAGAGGTGCACATTATGCCACTGTACAATGTAACACCCACTTTTCACTATTTATATTATGAGTCCCATTTAATAGGTGGTGAACCTATTGCCATATTCCGGGCACATTTCCAGACTCCGTGCTACTACTGAGAATTTTTTAAAAACCCCGTAATACTTTGCCCAACGCGGGAATCGAATCCGAAATCCCTTGCCCGGCAGTCGCACTTGCGACCACTCGGCAAACGAGGCAGTCTTATTTAATAACCTTATTTAATATCATATTTAATAGTATTTTTTATTATTATTCAATAATAATACATAGTATATCTAGAATCTAAAAAATAATTAATCTTAAAAATTATATCTATGATTACTATACTTTTGAGGTTACTGGACTTTTAAAACATGTCATTTACCTATAAGAAAAATCTCTAAAGTATAATTACTTATAATTCCAGGTGCTAGGGTCCAGTGCGATTTTTATGATGCGGACTGCACAACAAGAACATCTCAAAGAGAATTTCCTAATTTCGTGAATGGTATCGATGGTGTTGCACCTTCTGACCCTCTGAAGCAAGATATCATTGAAAGCAATCTCCCTAAATTAAAATATACTATTAAGGACGGAGTTTTGTCTGGATTCAAGAACTGTTTTATTGAACTATTGAGGTTAGTTATCTAAATATAATTATAATTACAAACACTAAAACTTTATTCATGTTGCTTCACTTCCGAATTTTCTGCTCCGTCGTGGTTGCATTTACTTACCCGAAACAATAATAGTGTCTAATAGTGATTCACAGCTCCTCCTCCATAGTTGATCCAATGATAATATGTAGCCTATATCGCCTCTTTGCGAGAATACTGTAACATCTCAAAAAAGGCAATTTTACAGGACGCGTATTTTAAACTTTCGAAATGTTATAAAATCTAAAATAATAGAGCTAAAGCAACAAAACCTTCTAGTGATTTATAATTTAACTATTAATTCATCTAAAACTATAGTAATTGTTGCGCTATTGGCTATTTTTCGGTATAAATTAACAGGATTAAAAAAAAAGGGATATTTTGTCACACTATTACTGAAAAAGTTTTCAAGGATCGATGTGACATATGAACTTGTCACATTGTTGATAATATATTTTTTTGTGTTGTGTTAGGTTATATGATAAAAACACATTTTAGAAATAAAAATGTTTATTAAATCAATGAAAAATTTGTAGGAAAAGAAAATCAAGCTAATGTTTATATTAGTCATTATAACGTAGGTAGGATATACAGTTACCTACTTAAATACAGTAATTCAACAGTTAACAATCAACAAAGTTAACAAAATGAAACTATAGCTATCAGTTCTTAATTAAAAGTATACTGTTATTACTAAATTTGTTATTATTATTTTAGATCTAGCTAACCAATCAGTCTCTTCGTAACATTAGTCTTTGTAAATAATCACTAGGTTTATTCTAAACCTACTTTAGGTGGACCATAATCTATATTTTAACTAAAACAAAACCATCTCAATAAGAATAATAATACATACTAAAAATATTTTTATTCATATTGAGATAGGTTTTAAAAATAAGTATCTAAAATTATAAGTATTATATACTTGCAAAATGTATTAAAAACTTGAGTATTTATCATTAAGTACTATAAAATTACGACTTAGGAACTTTTCATTATAAAATATCACATTGGTATTGTACTTAAAGGAACCGACGTTTCACTTATCTCACATAAAGTAATAAAAAATAATTGTTATAAAAATTACAAAAATAGTATAAAAAATAAAATAAAAACATTCAATAACATGTCAACTTGCTCTATGATGTCAACTGAAGCAATATTATTATTTAAATTAAACAAGTCTTGGTCTTTTGAGAAGTTGTAGTTAGTGCTGGCACCTTCTTCTTCAGAGTCTGAACTATGAATATTATTAATTTTTGACTTCTCCTCTTGATAATTGGGATCCTTTACGGAATCATCACTATCTGGGGAAAATTTAAAAGAAAATTAGTCCCAAATAATTACGTTGCAAACGTTCGGCATCCGAAATGCACAGAATTGAACACAAATTATTACATAAATTGAATAAGTGCATTTATTAAGAAATAGTAGTCTCTGCCTACCCCAATGGGAAAAAGGCGTGACAATAATAATGTATGTATGTATTAAGAAATATAATAAATGCATTTATATAAAAACTTACTACCTTCATAAAAAGATGGTCCACTGCTTGAGGAGGAACTCGAAGAAGAACTCGAAGAGCTACTTGAAGAGCTACTTGAAGAGCTACCGGTACTACTAGTTGACTCACGTCGACGATGTTTTGAGTCATCGTTACTTTTGTCTAAAAGAAATATAAATAATAATAACTTAAACAATAGAAAAACTTTATGAAACATAAGTAAAATCGAGGTGTTTACATAATTATCTGTAGAAAACACACTAAGACTCCTTATAATGTTGCTCAATTTGTTTCTTCTTCTCAGCCGATGGACGTCCACTGCTGGGCATAGGCCTCATGTATGGATTTCCAATATTGGAAATCCAATTTGTTTAAAATCTATGAAAATGTAAGTGTCGTAGGATAATTTGATACTTCGAATCTTCGCGGAAATCCTAGGGGTTTTGCGAAAACGCGGATAATTAGACATAGGCGAAAAATTATGAAATCTTACTGGACAAAGTCAGGATTTTTGTGAAAATACTCGTTACTATAGTAAGATTTGATGTGCTCAACACAATGCTACAATGCACAAGGCTACAATTTTGCTGGCTGACTTCTAATTGGATCCTAGTTTGCCGATTATTAACTTCAAGTATTGTATCATAGAGTTATGATGGTTTAGAATAGGTGAGAAAGGAAAATCACTAAATCGATTTTTATAAACTTTTTATTGAAAATTTTAGTATGTATGTTGTGTTCTACAGACAATAGGAGATCTCAGTCGTAGTAAAAAAAAATGATCCAATTTTAGGGTGTAATCCATAAATGGGATGAAACTGGTCGTTTAAGACGACGAAAAAACATTTAAGACGTCAACCAATCAGAGACGATCTCTTATTGAACGCGCTGACCGACCAATCAGCGTTCTTATTTCATAACAGCCAGCGTTTCGTTTCGCAATCTTACTATAGTAACGAGTATTTTCGCAAAAATCCTGACTTTGTCCAGTAAGATTTGATAATTTTTCGCCTATGTCTAATTATCCGCGTTTTCGCAAAACCCCTAGGATTTCCGCGAAGATTCGAAGTATCAAATTATCCTACGACATAAGCACCTAAGTTCGTTTCGTATTAATAGGTACTCATTTTAAATAACTACATGACAACAGGCTCGCCCCTTGTTACATGGGACCGAACCAGAGTTGGGCGTAATCAACTACTTTTGTAATCGGATTAATAATCTGATTGAAAGTAATCATGATTACATCAATCATGATTACTTTTAATCTTCTTTTAATCTTGATTACATGGGTAGATTTGATTAATTTTTTAAACATATTTTTAATAAATGCGGTTCTATATTCAATCAGTATGTATCTTGTATGTCTGAGTTTTTCTAAAAACTTCTGATCCAATTTGGATGTCATGGACGTTTTGTACTCTTTCGTTATTTAAATCCTTAAGTAAATTCGAAAAAGAATTTCTGCGTGCTCAATTGCATTTCGAAGATATGGCACGCGGGGTGCGGGAGTTGGGTGGGGTACGGGGTACGGCCGGTAAGCCAATCGTCCGCCGCCTGCACCCCGCTTCTTACCATGCCATACCGCAAGCAGTCAGTCTGTATAATAGTGCGCAAGGATATAAACGTAAATTGATTTACGAGTCTAAACCGTGTTTTGGTGTTTAAACATTATTATTGTAAAATCAGTATTTATTGTAAAATGGCGTCAAGTTCTTTTTCGTCTTTATCTACTAATTCAGAATCTGAAACCGTGCATCATGAACAACTTTAGACATTACCATGCATTCTTGATGGAAATTTTTTTACGTATTCAGAAATTTGTACATTATGTCGGCCAAAACTAGTTAAAATTAGTGGTTTTAATAATTCTACACCAAATTTTGTAACTCAATTCCTAAATGTAGTTAGTATGCATAAATCAAAAAAGTAATCAAAAAAGTAATCAAAATTACGATTACAAACTAATAATCATTAATCACCGATATGATTACTTTCTTGATTACTTGATCGTAATCTGTTTACTTGATTATGATTAAAAAAGTAATCGAACCTTAATCTATTATAATTCTGATTACAATTTGCCCAACTCTGGACCGAACATAGGTGGCATTTAGTCTTTACAAAAATATTCTTTAAAAACCAAAATTATTAAGTCTTACCTTCTGGAATCATTGCGTTTATATTAGAGTCATCAACTTCCTCGGCTTGGATACTGGAACTATCATTTACGTTACTATCAACTACGTTTTGCATAGTTGCTAATTGTACTAATTTTCTGGACCGCGATCCCATCTGAAAAAATAAATATTTATAATTCATTTGTTTTAGTATTTACAACGTGACATAACGATTTAATTTACAAAAAAACTTATAATTTATCTAGAAAAAAGTAACATTACAAAATACTCCGAATCCATTTTATGGTTTGTAAAATATTTCATTGTCAACAACGCGTCATCTTATGATGTTACAAAACAAAAACGATATCTTTTCAACGAAAACGTGATATCAAAAGTAATAACAAGTTAAAATTGCATACTATTTTCAACAAAACTGTGTCAATTCAACATATCACATTACTTAATAAAAAAATATCAAAGAGTTCAAACTTACCTTAGCAATCGTAATGTGGTATCTTCGTGATGTCACGTTTTTGCACAAATACGAGAGCGCCCTTCCCTCCAAATGGCACGCGCCGACTGATGGGACACGTTGTCGAAACAAATCACGAGGCAGAAAGAGACAGCGCGACAACACAAAATATTGCAGTTGTCTTGTCTCTTTCGCTCATAGATGCACCGTTATTGTCAAAAAAATACCTCGTTTTTATCGAAAATAAAGTTCAATACGGCGGTTTTGATTATGGAATAAAAAAAAAATTGATTTTTCTGAAATATCACAGTATTCTTGCAAAGAGGCGATATGTTGATGCAATCTGTTAGTAATATTTCTGCAAAATTTGAAGTAAATTCATGTAGCACTTTTTGCGTTCATACTGACAAACACAAAAATTCTAAAAACCATATTTTTGGTTTCGGTATACCTATAACATACCAAGAATTCTTTAAAAAAAATATTCGATGTAAAGGTAAATATAAATTTAAATAAAGAAATAAATATGTATAAATAGATTTGTATGTAATATAATTTGAATACATGTTGCGTATATAAACAAACCAGTAAAAAAATGTTCCCGTATATTAAAAACTTTCCATTGAAAAAAATTGTAGTGCCAATAAGGACGGACAGGACAGGGAATAATTTGTTTTGGAAAATGCAATTGTATTTTTGCGTTTGAAATCACTGGTAGAAACTATAATAGGTGTATTTATTTTGTTTCAGATTGTCGAAAGATCAAACATTCGATTATCACGTTAGATGCCCACAAATTACTTTGAACGGTGAATATGAACTGAAGGGTGACTTACTCAACAACTATATTGAAGGCAAGGGTACCTGCAAAGTAGAATTTTGTAAGTACAGTTTCAAAGTTCGTTATTTTTTTATGGCATAAGCCGGTAAACAAGCAGACGGATCACCTGATGGTAAACAATCGGCGTCGCCCATGAACACCTGGAACACCAGAGCCATAACAAGTGCGTTACCGGCCTTTTGGATATTAGGAGTTTGAGGATCGTTGGGGATTCAGGGATTGGGGAGGTCGGGGAAGGGGATTGGGGGGTGGGGGGTTAATTGGGCCTCCGGTAACCTCACTCACGCTCTCTTAGTTTATTTTCATAAAATTCCGACTTGTTAATTCAAAGATGATGATTGAAGAGTTAAGGATCTGTTTCAATGGACATAAGCCCGTAAACTGATGAGCAAAAGGCGAGCTTTTATTTAGCCTACTACCTATTTCACCACATTTATATCACCTTATAAACTTATGTGACCAATAGTTAAAATAAATTACGTTCTTAACTTAAAATCACTGTGATACAAACCCTTAGATCCATAGCACAATACGCGCAGGCAACTGCTTCATAGGAGGTTTGAACGCAACCTTGCAACCGTGAGTTTACAGCCTCGACTACGCCCGAATAAAAATACGCCATGGCCTTAGTTTCACCTAATACAATATATCTATTCGGAGTCGCGGAGAACCTAACGGGTAACCGGGGCTCCGGCTCGACGTGCAGGAGAAGGAACGCGGTGGTTTTTAGTCAGTAAGAGTCTGACACTCCCTTCCGCCTCACCTAGGCGGGAGGAGTCATTCGATGATTTTCCCCCCTTAAAAAAAATACAACATATCTATAATTAAATCTTGAAAATATTTGATTAATTTACTAGCTACTACCGATTGAGTTGATTTTTTTATAATACGTTTTTAATATTCCAGACGACTACCGCTTCGTCATTCAAGGCAACTACGAGTCAAACAAACGCGATGACAAAACGTATGTACACTTTAAAAGTTATACACTTAATACGGATCCAAGAGGAAAATTGATATTTGACTTCGAAAATCTCTTCAATGGTGACAAGCAGAAATGTAAGATTTTTTTGTAGAATTTTCTATTTTTCTTATGCGATAGGCCGGCAAACGGGCGGACGGATAATCTAATGGTGCTTAAACTGTCAAACACCACGAGGACACCGGTGACCGCAACCTATTGTTCTTTAATTGTGTCTATAATGACGGTACTCAAAGGGTAATGGTAAGCAATTATCGCTGCTTATAGACATCCGCAATACCAGAGGAGTTTCCAGAGCAAGTTCTCCCACGTTACTTCATTTCAAAAATAAAATTTTATTTGTTTTTATATTAACTATAGTAAGTGACATACTGAATTAACTTAAAATTATGAATTACTCACATAAATATACTGAGAAAAAAGTAGGAGTCCTTTTGTGAATCGAAACTAGTAGAGCTTTTCTCAATGTATTTAGATGAGTAAGTCGTAATGTTTAGTTAAAATTTAATACATACTATAAAGTACTAATGCTTATGTCATTATATGTATCTATTTTTTCAGCTGACGCTGCTCTCAAGATGATGAACGAAAACTGGAAAGAAGTGGACAAAGCGATGCATCCACAAGTCATGGAAGCATTTATGAAAACATATATGAAAAATGTTAATGACTTTACAAATAAAATACCAGCTGAAGAAATAATATATTACGAGCAATAAAAATCTACCATAAAAACCGATATACTTTAAAAACAATAAAGAAAATATGAGCAAATTATAATGAAAACCACCCCGTCTTTTCTTTTGTCTTTAATAGTGAAAAATCAATTCAAAACTATATAAATCTATTGTCTCATCTTTTAAAGGCAATAAGTCACTTCATGAACAATATAATTATGTTTTTGCACGATATATGTACAGTTTTTTCGACTTTTTAAATGTCATGCTAAACAATATTAAACCATTCGTAAGAGATAATCATAAAGTTCAAAACGCAAATGGAGCGTATTAACATAGTAATAAAGAAATATGTGGAGACGAATATAAAAAAGTATTTTTCTGTTTAAAATAAAATGTGTGATTTGCAGAACAACCAGAGTGATACCATGGCCACACAGAATACCGTCGTGAAACGATTCTTGTCTCATGTTTCGCCGTGGAAGTAGTTTTTAGAATAACTATCGTGAGACATACTAAAATAAGTAAAATCGCGGGTTACTAACGTAAATATAGCTGACTGAGCTACGCGACGTCGCCGCGACCGCGCACGCTGCTCATGAGCAAGAACCCCTCTGTGGTTCGAAACTAGTAGAGCTTTTCTCAGCATATTCACGTGAGTAACCCGCGATTTCACTTGGCGTAAGTAGTTGTCCAAATAGTGTTGGTTGTTCTAATGTACCAAAAGTTGTACCTAATAGCAACTTAAACAATTTCAGATTCTGCACTTCTATAAGAAATCTAAATGTTTTCCTTAAATTAAAAATTGGAGACAAAGTCATGTCTAATATACCTCCTGTTCCCCAGGCATCTTTGCAGGAAAGTTACCGCGGATTCCTGCAGCGTAAAGGCGGGATTATTTGACGCTTCGTTGGCTACGATGGCTAAGCAATCCACCCGGACTATGACTCGGTATATGACGGTTATGTTAAAATATTTATTTTATGTGAACATAACATTTTCACTTCTACTAGATAGAAAACTGTTTTAAAATCTGCCCAGTAAATACCTAGGTATATGAAACCGATGAAATAGGCGATGCAGCATACGGTGGCAGTGTGTTTGGACTGAACATTGTTGTATCCTCTCTAGAGAAATAATCAGTGGCGGTGACCTCTCGCATTTGATTCAGCACAAGGTGCTGACTGAGAGAAATGGTAAAGCCTCCGTCTGCGAAGCAGTCTTGATAGATAGAAGGAGGTAAAGTGCGTGAAGAAATGATCCTCCTCATACGCCAATAGCCGCAGGAGACACCAATGCAAGCAGAGTTATATTCAATTTCTTAATAACGGATAAGGAGTATCATTAATATAATAGGATCGCCCACTATTATAACTAAACTGTCAAAAAAGAAACACCATTAGTAAAATCTTTATTCCATTCGCTTACTTAACTAGAAAGTAAACACACGTATTAGATTTTATAATAATTTTATTATGACATATTTTGAATTCTTCTGCATAAAATTGGTCAAAACATTGCAAACAACTTAAATAAGAGTTCCAAAATGCTTGAATTTTTTAGAGCCTTTGTTCAATAATGCGTATCTTTCGACTGATGATGATAATACACTAATCTTGATAAAATATATCATCTATGGGTACTTTACTAAGGTAACTGTTGACATGTTTGATATACTTCTTCATGAAAGCTTCCATCGCTGTTGTACGCAATAGTTTATCCGCAAACTGCCAGTGTTCGTTCAAAAAGTCCTGTACAGCGGCAGCTAGAAATGCACAAAACAGATATTAGTATGGTATTGAAAGAAGAAGAAAAACCGTTTATTACGCCATGACACACATGTAGACAATAATACAATAAAGCAATACACAAACTCTTAGGCATATGTATAGGCATATTAAAATGTAACTTATTAAATTGTAATAAGTTACATTTTGATATGTATAGGCATATGTATACCATGCCTTGAAAAGCGTTTGTGTCAAAATTGTACGGATATATAGGTTACCCAAACGGGTCATGAGATACACAATCGTTTAAAATAACTATATCCAGAGTTAACTTACTTTTCTCTTTATTTCCATTGAATAAGTTCTTAATTTCGTAAACTACTCTCCCTTTAGCTTCAATTTCCAGATTACTAGTTAACAGTTCAAAGTGAATTTTATTGTCAGGCCTAACTTTTCTGTAAGTGTCACCATTGAAATAAAAATTGTAGTCATCTGTAACAAATTATGTAAGAATTAAAACATTTTTTTACATTTTTTAACCGACTTCAATAAAAGGAGGTCTCACTGAGCGTCTCTCGTCATCAAACGTTAAAGTTTGGCGAGTTTAGATTTAAGGCCACTTCTTTGTAAAATTCCTCTAAATAAATTTATTTAAAAAAAATTGACTTGTATGTATGTGTGTGTGCGCAATTGGCAAAACCAATTTTGACAGAAAAGTGTTTGTTACGAGGAACGTTTAGTAAGTATAGGTATTAATTAACCAACTTTAAAAAAGAGGGGGTTTAAGTCGGCTATTTTAAACGTATATAAAAGAATTGTTGTTTGCATAGGATCGAGCACTTATTCCGAAAAGTCCGAAGCTCAAAATTGTCAACGAACTTAACGCAGAACGTGATATCAGATAGTCTCGTTGACCTCATTGGAGGAAACTCTGCATTTGAAATACTGTATCTCTCAAATCTAGTTGGGAAAATACCGAAAGAGAAACAAACAAGCAAAATACAATCTCAGTATTTGTATTTTGCTTGTGTAATTCCCGTGATGAGTAATGGAAAGGTCTGTAACAAATACCTATGATAATAATTTCAATTAAGATAATATTTTTCGACGCCGTATTTACATATTTTTTATTGTTTTCTTTCCTTTTTTAATTTCTGTGTGGTCTTACATATAATATTAATTTATGTTTAAGTTAACTGCAGTGTAAATAATTAAATCTATGACTATTTTAAAAATTTTTTGTCAAAAATGAGATACTTTTTTTTAAGGGGGGAAAATCATCGAATGGCTGCACGTCGAGCCGGAGCCCCGGTAACCCGTTAGGTTCTCCGCGAATTCGAACCGGGATTAGCTCTGTAAAAAAAAAAATTAGATACTTACAATGGTCAACTCTGCACGTTGAGCCTTTGCCCTCGGCGTATTGAGGACCTATATTTCCTTTTAATTCACATTTTGATTTTAAAATAAGATGTGGACAGGAAACGTGATATTTGTACTTATTTTCTTTGCTATATATTCTGAAACAGAAGTAAAGTATAGTTAAAGTTTTAATTATCATAACCAGACATCAGGGCCTTTAGCCAAACGCCACTTTAGCGCTTGTCTACAGAGAGAGTAGAAATCAAAATGTATGGGGATGACACTGACAAGTGTCAAAATTTACGTCATTTCCATATAATTTGGTTTTCTATTCTACATGTAGACAAGCGCTAAATGGCATTTGGCTACAGCTGCTTTTTACATATACAGAGGCCTTAGTACCAGTATGTTTTACGATAAAAAGTAATCGAAACGAGACTGCATTCGGCGCTGTGCTTCGTTGTTTCATTGGAGCCGGCCAATCAGAGTGCCGTACGCTTACTCATTTTGATTACTTTTAACGTAAAAAAACTGGTACTAAAGCCTCAGAACGCGAAGTAAACGCGATCCGAAAGGCGTACGAGTGGACCATTCAACTGGCCTGTTCCAGAGGCCCGTTCAACAATTTTACTATAGGTAAATGAAATGGGATATCAGTCAGCAATTTATCCTTGTGTGCAGTCTGGAAGAGTATTATTATTAACATTATCTGTTCATTTTCCTTTTGTGGGACAACGAGGTACTGGAATTTTTGAAAACGTACGAGTGGCTAAAGCTAACTCGCAGGGGCCCATTGAATAATTTTAAAATTAATCTAATTCTTGACTGCCTCGTTGGCCGAGTGATCGCAAGTGCGACTGCCGGGCAAGGGGTCTCGGGTCCGATTCCCGGGTCGGGCAAAGTATTACTGGGCTTTCAAAAAAAATCTCGGTATCGGAGTCTGGAATTGTACCCGGTATATGGCAATAGGCTCACCCCCTATTACATGGGACTCTTAACATAAATAGTGCACCTCTGCCTACCCCTTCGTCGATAAAAGGCGTGATGTTATGTTAATTCTTAACAGCTATGTTGTACTCACTTTACTAATTCCACCTTGCAATCACTCATACCAGTGAGTGAGGCTCCTATTAATTTATATGATATAGTTGGAAGATCTGTTTCAAAATATTCCAGACGTAAAGGATCTACCGGTACACCACCAGGTATACCTCTGATAAACTCTTCGAATGATCTTTCGGCACCTTCTGTTAGGCATCTGTGGTCATCTATATCACATACTATGGGTGGTTTAGCTGAAAGAAAAGGATTTTCAATTAAGACAGTGAATTAATTATTATGTTTTCGGCTCACTCATGTAAGTGTTTGACGAGGAACTCGACTAGTTTCAAAACATGCTAGAGACTCATATTCATGAGCAGCATTCCGCGACCCGTAACAACTGTCGCGCTGCTACTTTATACTTACTCGTCAAACAGTTACGTGGGTAAGCCGAAGACATAATAATGAATTAATATGTCTCACGAAAGTTTTAATATAAACAATACTGTGAATTTCGAAAATAGGTACATCTAAAATAAAGAAGGTTTGTAGTCTTTGTATCACCGAATATAAGAAGTAATTGTGAAATTTTTAATCATCAATCGGTTAGATAATATATTAAGTCACGGATATGGCTAGTCTTTGTTTGATGTGGTATTTCGTATAGTATATAGTATTTATAAGCAAAACTAAATTGCTGTCACAAAGCTAGAAAGTTTTAGCTACTGTATTTATTTTTGCAACAAAAAATCAGTATCGATTAAAATCTGCTTTCACTCCTTGACCAGAAAGTTTCAATCATATTTTTAAATGTTCACATTTTCTTAATAACAATGAAATTTTAATGTTATCACTCACATATTGCACTGCTTATAAAAACTACAATAAAAACGAATATCCTAGTTGAGCTCATTTTTGGCAACAATAAACGAAATGTCTAAACTAATGCAAGCGTTTCTTAAATTCCACTGAATTTATACTTTGTGAAATTAAGTTTTCAATACAGTGCTGCGGTTCCGTAGAACTGCATATCAAGTTAAAATGTCGAGGTGAAATAAAAACTCTAACTCTTTATTTTCTGCCCGCGACTTCATACGTGCAATCCCGTTTTGTCCCGTTCCCATAAGATTTTCAGGATTTTTTTTCTATCATTAGAACCTTCTCCTGACAATAACAAACACAACAAAAACAAGCGATCCAATCATTCTTAAGGTATTCTTAAGGTATGGCGTGGCAACGGGAAAAGGGTTTAGATTTTTTAATGTACCTAGATATGAGAAATCGGTACGGTTTCATATGCTCAAATTACTCTAAATTGACAAAATTTAATGAAAAGAAAATTGATTTAAATTTACATTAAGTTGATCTCCAAAAGCACATTAACATAAGTCAAGCAACTCACGAAATTAAAATAAAATCAAAATAACTACAAACATAAGGGTCATTTAACTCGTGACCAATTAATTTATACAATTTTAAGTAAAAAATTACACGGAATGTAATTTTTAATTTTTTTTTAACTCAAGAGATATGACGTCTTTGGCAGAAACTAAACTATATTGCGATATTTTTAATGTTTTATGAACTAACCAATCACCATTTTGTGTAGAATCGCAACGCAACTGAAATCAAGACATCAAACTTGAACAACCTGAAAGGGTAGGAAGACCTCGTTCATTGGGTATATGCGCAAGCATTGCACAGCATAGGGCTCCGAAGCTGGAGTAATCAGAGAATCTGCTATCGCGTATCGGTGCTGATGATGACCACCGGTGGTTTTAGTCAGCTAGGAAACTAACACTCGCTAGTTTGTCACTCCGAAACCTTTCGCAGTTTTTGTGCCTGACTTTTCAGAGGAAACTATTTTCTTAACAACTATATCACGTTAACTAAAAATCGTGAGTTACTCACGTGAATATACTGAGAAAAGCTCTACTAGTTTCGAGCCACAGAGTACGTGAGTAACCCGCGATTTTTAGTCAATTTCGTATGTCTCACGATAGTTATTATAAAAACTCAACAATATCACGTCCTTAAAGAGCTACACAGAGATGCATAAAATAAATTTGAAACAATGTGTTATGTAACAATCTACTTTTTATTCGTCGTTTTTTTATAGGATAAGCCGGTAAACGAGCAGACGGATCACCTGATTGTAAGCAATCGGAGTCGCCCATGGACACCTGGAACACCAGGTTACAAGTACGTTACTGGCCTTTTGGGAATGATGAAGTTGAGGATTGTTGGTGATTCAGGAATTGGGGAGATTGGGGAAGGGCGGGGAAGTAATTGGGCCTACGGTAACCTCTTAACAATTAATAAATAATATTGCATGTAAGTTTTGTAATATGTCATTAAGTGCTGTAATGTGCACCTCTGCCTACCCCTTTGGGGATAAAAGGCGTGATGTTATGTATGCATGTAAGTAAATATTCCACATATATTCTTACATTCCTATATTGCGATAGTAACCATAGTTACAGTTTATAACGCAAAATGAAAAGTAATATTATACTAAAGCAATTACTTACTAATTTTATCAATTGAGTGTATTTAGCTCATACATTTTGTTTATATGAAGATTACAAATATGTAACAGAATCAATAAATTCAACAATGCAAATAAAACTACATTGTTAAATATATAAACACAAGTGCAATTTTCAAGATCAGTTGTGCCAAATCGAATAATTTTATTAGGTAGGTACTCATTGAGGTCAAAAAAGGTTCTAATGAAAACAAAAATTAAGAATTCAGAAAACATACATAAAAATGTAGCGGAGGTTTAAGACGCCCGCTTCTCATGCATGAGGATGCAGGTTTGAAACCTACCAACAGCAAGTACCTATGTGACTTTTCCGAGTTATAGTTACTTTCGAAAAGTGATTCAGATATCACTGACAAACGGTGAAGGAAAATATCGTGAGGAAACCTGGGCTTATAATTTCTAATTATAAATTTGAAATCGTTAACCCGCATTGAGGAAGCGAGTTGTTTAATCTCAAACCTTCTTCGTTTGAGAAGAGACTTTGCTCAGCAATGGGCATTGGCAATATAGGCTGTTGATGTGTGTAATAAACAATTTTAATGAAATCCACGCAATTCTAGAAAAATACTCAAGAACTCATTTACTATGCTTACGAGCCATTTATCATCAGTTAATAGTTACTTTTTGACGCAAGTGATTGTGTGACATGTGAATAAAATGTAATACCTTTAAATGAGCAATTCTTATAAACTATACTTACTCAACGATGTGTTCAATTTTCAATTTTCTGGAAATTTTGTATTTAAATAGTTTCCGGCGCGATAAATCGATCTAACTAGGTTTGATTTTTCGTGTTTGTATTTATTGTTTTTTTTTTTGTATATCTGTCTATTTATTTTTTCTAAAAAGTAACCGTATGTAGTTACTAAAAAAACACTGAGCAAAGCTCGGTCATTCAGATACTGATATATTAATTGACTAGCGACTTCCGTGCAGTTTAGCCTGCTGTTTAGCTTCTATTGGTCATAGCTTAATGTTTTATAGTCTATATAGCCTTCTTTGATAAATCCACTATAAAGCAGAAACAGAATAATTAAAATCGGACTAGTAGTTTAGGAAATTAGCGCGTTTAAACAAACGAACAAACTCTTCAAAACTAATTAAGTATATTATGGTATAAAAGTATAAAATTTGAATTGTTTATATGTCCTAATTGTCCCACGGTTTTTGGTGTCCTCATGAATGGAACTACCTGCTGATTCTTCTAAGTTTTTGATAGAGTCATAGTTATATACAGAAAAAATTAAAAAAGGATTGCTTGTTTTCAATTTTTGGAATTTGTATCTAATAATAACTTTGACGCCCGTAGCCTTGTGAACCTCATGAGGGATCCAGACCAGATTATATCGGATGGAAGTGAAACGCTTCCGAAAATGAAGATTGTAGTGATTTAGATGACAATAATCGAATATCTACCACAGATAAAATATATAATATTTTTTTTTAAACTTACTTTTGTATAGCGTCATTAATATAAAACTAATGTGTGTAGGATTTTTTTAATCACAGTCACATTGACGAACTCGCCACTAACTCGTGAAAATAACAGACAACAGATAACAAGGGTGGCTAAACTTAGTAAAGTAACAAATACTATTGAAGATTTTGATTCTGTTCCACTTACTAATGGCTGTGGCGTGCCTCAAGGTAGTATCCTGGGGCCGCTACTATTTCTTGTGTACATTAATGACCTACCACAGTCAATAAGTCATCAGTGTGTTCTCTTTGCTGACGATACTACTATTATCATAAAGAGTAATGAACCCCAAAATTTGAGTATTCAGGTCAACAAAGCATTAGGTGAAATTATGAAATGGCTAGATACTAATAAGTTAAAAATAAACATCCTTAAAACTAATGTAATCTATTTTAAAACATGGAAAAGTAAGCCCGTACAAATTGATGTATCATATAATAATAATGTTATAGAACAAATACATTGCTCTAAATTCCTGGGTATAACAGTAGATGAAAATATTACTTGGAAAACTCATATTGCAAATGTATGTGTAAAAATCAATAAATTTGTCTTTGCTTTGAGAAAAATTACATGTATAACATCCACGCAAACTGCCTTAATGGTATACCATGCATACGTTTGCTCAGTTATCCGCTACGGTATCATTGTATGGGGAAACTCTTCGGATATATCACGAGTGTTCATTGTCCAGAAGAAGTGTGTTCGTGCAATGTTTAATGTTGACTGGTGTGATTCATGTAGACCCGCATTCCAATCAAATAGCCTCTTAACGGTTCCCTGTATTTATATTTACGAGATTTCTAAATTTGTGAAAAATAATCCTCAATTTTTTGTGTCTAACAATAATGTAAATAAAAGAAAAGCTACTCATCTAGAATTTCAGTTACCTGTTCCTAGATTAGAGTTATTTAGACGAAGCTGTATTTACATGGGTCCCTTAATATATAACTCTTTACCAAAAACTATCTCCGGACTACCTTCAAATAAATTTAGTGTAATGCTAAGAAAATGGTTATGTCAGCAATGTTTTTACTCAGTTGACGAATTTCTAGCAAAAAACCCATGTAAATTCTACAATTGTGAGCGATCTGTGAGGTATAGACTGTAAACTTATAATTTAGATAAATTGTTAAATGTTCTATTTCTGTGATAAGTATTTGAACTGTATAAAGATTTGCATGTCGCCAAGCGGCAAGATGTATATGGCACCTTGACTATGTTATTATTATCACCATTATGTACCTACATTTTATGCAAATAAAGATTCTATTCTATTCTATTCTATTCTAATGGAAAATTTTTGGTTAATATCGTGAAAATTGAAACCGGTGGGAAAAAGAATTGTTACTGTTGGTTTTATTATTTTTTGTGGGACAAAAGCAGTCAAATCAACCAGACTTAGAAGTCTTTGTTTTATTAGAAGAACACATGAAACTCGTGTTTCATAGAACCTTTTTTAAATGTGGGGGAGCCATGCTTCGGCACGAATGGGCCGGCTCGACCGGAGTGATACCACGGCCTCTCAGAAAACCGACGTTAAACAACGTTTGTCGTGTGAGTGAGGTTACCGAAGGCCCAATTACCCCCTCCCCTCATCCCCAATCCCTGAAACCCCAATAATCCTCAAATCCCAAATCCCTAAAAGACCTGTAACACTTCTGGCATTTTGTGTGTCCATGTGCGGTGCCGATTGCTTACCATCAGGTGATCCGTTTGCTCGTTTACCGACCTATGCCATAGAAAAACCCACGCACGATCATTACCAATAACGTAGAAAAGAGGAAAACCTACCTAAACTTAAACCTAATAGAAAGACGTAAGTGATTCTGAAACTGCGTGGTAGTGTCTATATAGTAACATTTTTTATTTTAATAACAATGTGTGCGAATTCTTTTCCTCAACAGAACAATGACGTCAGCCCTTAATTTGGGTATTGTTGTTATTATTTATATCTCACAAATAAGCTACGGTATTTAAACATATTTTTATGAACGGTATTATTTATGGCTTGTATGGCTGTAGCATTGCTTGATTGAATAGATAAACATGTGCGTAGGTAAGTATATATTATACAGCTGAGACAACATTTTGCCATTTCATGTGCATTAATACAGTGAATATGTTGTCAGGATTATTAATTGCTTTGTTGTTGTTCTTCGACTGTACTTTAGGTAAGAGAAGTATTATTTTATACAATCCTTTCAATTGTTTTCAACGGTTTCCAGACATTATTGTGTGTAATGTGATAAAATAAAAATAAATAAAAGTATATAAAAATCGCGATTTAAGGCCTAATCTTAGCAAAATTGACTTTATTTCCAGGTAAGAGGGTACCATGTGCCTTCACAGACGAAAAATGTTTAACAGAAAGTTGTGACCGATCCTTTAAGAAGTTCATAAATGGCAAAAGTGGAGCCCAGTCTTCCGACCCCATGCATCTGGATTCAATGACATTTGATCTGCCTGAAATTAAATACGTTGTAAAAAACAATTTCTTTGTGGGAATGTCGAATTGCCATGTCGTGCTAACTCGGTAAGAACTTTTGAATACCACCATTGGTTTAAGTAGAACAAAATATTTAAAAATATAGATTGGAAAAGAGCGAAATATAAGTAAATTCTTGAGGAAGCCTAGAGCCACAAAGTACTTAATGTATCCTGCTAAGTATAATTTTATACTGTATAGTACCTAAAAGATGTAACCGCGGAGAACTTAACAGGTTACCGCAGCTATGGCTCCATGTGCAGGAGTAGGAACGAGGTGGTTTTTTATACAGTAGGCTCTGACACACCCTCTCGCTTTATCCGGGGGGAGGGAAGTACCATTGGCCGATTTTTCTCTCTTAAAAAAATAGCACCTAAATATATGAAATTAAGATTTAAAAAAGACCGTGCCTTTCATAGTTTGATAATATAAGGATAAATAAAAGTTTAAATACCTACACAGGTAGCTAATTCATAAATCGCAGTTTTAAACTTAAAGTCTGAGAATAATCAGTTAATTAATATACATTTAATCGTTTTTTTTAGAATTTCACTGGAGGGCAGTACGTTCGTATACAACATTTCCTGTCCAAGTCTTACTATGAAAATGGATTATGATATGAAAGGTCAACTAGGTTCCAAAAACATCGATGAAAAAGGGAACTGTGAAGTCAATTTTGGTAAGTAAAATAATTAAAATTAAGATAAGTGCTAGGAGAGAATGTAAAGAGATCGAAGTGAGCTCGATCGCATTCTCGCCCGTCATTGGTCGAATTGAAAGTTACAGTATAGCCTCGCAGAATACCAATGATACACCTAAGAACCAATCGCTAAACTCGAAAGCCGAGTTTAACAAAAAAATAAAAGAAAATTGAATACCTAAACACTATCACTTTTATTTATAAAATCGTTACCTTACACTAGAATTACCACTTGTATTAATTATTGGTCCGTTTACAAACGCATTATTTCCTAAACACATTACGTCCCGACCCAAAAGCTGCCACGACTCTGGTACATCAGTCTATATCACGATCACTGCCTCAAGTATACAATTTATATATTTTATCAAGCACCTATATAACCTTCGTCATACTAAATACTGGCTTCTATTTCCAGATGACTACCTTCTAAGATTTGTGGGAGACTACAGCCAATACAATGGTGTGGATAACAAGATTCATCTTCAAGCTAAAAGCTACAAATTCACGCCCGACAATAAAGCAAGAGTGCACTACGAATGTAAAAAACAATCAAGCGGTGATAAGCTAAAATGTAAGAACATAGTAAATTAAATTAATTTCAGTCTTGTATATTATGCTACTAATATTATAAATGCGAAAGTTTTTTATTCTATCACTTCATAACAGCTGACCGGTTCAGGATGAAAATTTAGAACAGGGGTTCCCTCCTTTAAGGAGGGAAAGTCATCGAATGACTTCTCCCGCCTGGGTGAGGCGAAGGGAGTGTCAGACTCTTATTGGCTAAAAACTACCCCGTTTCTACTTCTGCTCTTCCAGCCGGAGCCTCGGCAACCCGTTAAGTCCTCCGTGGCTCCGTATTCACCCTATTGGGCCCCATTCATGGTGGTCTGATGGATCTTTGAGCCGTTCGCTCGGGTCTGGTTCTATTCGGGCGGCGAGCCACACATGCTCGCCGTCATCAGGCCCGCGCTTACAGTGGCCGGAGATCGTCCCGCGATCCCCGACGCCCAGAGTGTCTTTCGTGAAGGCTGGGTTGTAAGGAGGCAGCGCTTCACTGCCTCACGCGCCTCGCCTTCTCCTTAATAGTCGCCTGTGGTCTGGAGTAACGCACAGGCTACTTTTATCCCACATAAACTCGGGCAACACTGCTGGCTGAAGCTAGTCAAACGATATTTTTTCTGAAAAAACAAGTAATGCAATTCCTGATTCCTGGAAACACATTTGTAACTTCTCTAGCGTTACTAGTCTCATGGGCTCGTTTCATAACAAACTGACATTACGGGAGAAAATTTGCAACCTATGAAAACAGTCATAACACCGGAGCATACAATTTCTTAGATTAATACTAACTAAAGTAGAAATACGTTATTAGAGCGTCAATTTTAATCTTATATACCTCTATATAAAAATGAATCTGTTTACCTACCCTTAGTCACGGAATCATGCGTGAATGGCTGGATCGATTTCACTAATTCTTTTTTTGTTGTATTTGTGATTATTAGGAGAAGCTTAAGGCTTAAGACAGAAAAAATTCTAAAAATCATACGGGAACGGGAGCAAACGGGCAGAAGCTAGTCATTTATAGAAATCTACACTTTAGAGAAAATCAAATAGTTTCATTAGAGAACCATCGCACAGGCATTTTAATATTTTTCATATTCCAAAAAGCAATTCAGATATAATATATTTCACATCCATAATACTAACAATAATTTTTAAATTTTCAGCTAACAAATGGCGTGATACACATCAACAAGCCGCTAAGAATTTACTACAGAGTTTCATGGCAAAATATATGAGAAACGTTAATCGTTTCTTGGAAAAGACTTCTAATGAAGATTTATTCTACCAGGAATTATAAAACTTATACATATGTATATCTACTACTGAAATAAAAAATAATTAACTATGAAAAAATGAAATATAAATGTGTGTACAAATAAATTATTAAATTATTGTTTCGTTTCTATGTTTTCTTTAAAGTTATTTTTAGCTTAACCTTTCATTATTATTTTAAGGTTATCAAGAATTTTAGCTTCCGAAACTAAAATTATTTTTGTTAAAACCTAATCTGGCTAAAATTAGATATAAAGTACGTCAACTGTAATAAAAAAAAGGAAAAAGAACATTTTCCTTTTGTTTCATAAAATGACGTGTATACAATTTAAATTTTACGTAAAACAAAGCAAACTTTAAGAATAATTAGATAAGATACATATCTTATTTTTTATTGGTTTGTTGACTTTAGGTTTAACACGTACCTACCTACCAAAAATTATACTTAACGGTAAAAATAAGGCAATGTACTTAGACATAAGGGTACATTTATACAGTGTTACAAATAACCCATATTATTACTTTATTGGGTATTTATATATTGTAACTGTTACTGAAAAGTAAAGGGAATCATTAACCAAGAAGATAAATACAAGTACATACTGAAAACATCTGGGTATACTATACTATACATACCTCTACAGATGTTTCCAGTTTTGATAATTAATGACAGCGTAAGCAATATCTTTTTGGTAGATTTTTACACGTTGGATTCCATTATCGAAATTTTTTACACCGTTCCCTTTTTTTCTGTTATCAAATCTAGCCTATGTTTATCAAGGATAATTTAGGATTCGAATATAGAAAAATTCTTCGTCCAGTAATTTCGGAGCCTATTCAATTCAAACAAATAAAAAATCTTAAAACTGTGTAGACATTCTATATATTCTATATTCATACATACTTTGTAGCATTCGCTTCGGGTCATACTTTTGAGGTAAGTTATATTGCAATAATTTTGACTTTATAATTATTTACACACGAAGACCGCACCCTAAGTTTTGGGTCCCGTTACCACAGATTAAAAGTAATCATATAGTTATAATCAACCAGCTAATACTTTAGTCTGTGGTGTGCTAACGAAGTTACCACATCAAGATGTTACCTTTAAAATTATTAATAATTTCTATTATTTGCGTACAAAATACATTTTGTAAGTTCACTACTGATATTGTTGTATCTGTCTATTGACAGATATAGATTGATATTTATGTGATATATTTATACTTATTGACAGGATAAATCACACTTTGTACGACACAATCTAAGTTGAATTCTTGTCAAATTTACAGACCTTTTTTAGATAGATTATACTGATCAACAACAAACTTATTGGTCTATGAATTGACTCTAAGCAGTCATAGGTGTTTTTATTTGGTCTTATAAGGCTTCCTCAAAAATCTCAATGCTCAACGTTGTACGAACGAACGTTTTGATGTATGGACCCAATATGTATGAAATAAATTTATTTTATTTTATTTTTTAAAACTGTCAAACACCAAGCGGTCACCGGTGACCGCGACCTATTGTTCTTTAATTGTGTCTATAAAACCGGTACTCGACGAGTTAACATAGTTATTTATTGTTCAGTCTAATTATTGTAATACAACATTATTAATATACTTTTAATGCTTTTTATAATAATTTTCATTTTCTTTTCAGGTCGAAAAATCTTCTGTGATTCTGACGATGACATTTGCCTTTCAAACGCAGCGAATGAAAGGGTGTTCCCGAAGATAATAGAAGGGATCCCTGGAGTTGAACCTTCGGAGCCGATACATTTACCTCGGTTCGAGATAGTCCTGCCGAATTTGAAGTATTCGCTCCTGAACGCTACTATGTCTGGAGTGAAAGATTGCAGTATAACGTTCAAGTAAGAAACTATGTGTTATTGATACTTAAGTATTTTTCAGAACAGCTCAATTTTTATCTACGTTTTTGGTCCCGCTTCAAGATAAGGCAAAGTCCTCATATATAAAAGAAACCCAGTATAGTCAAGCAAAGGAATATTATGGGATCTTGAAGCTTGAAAATATTAAGAATATTTTTAGATATTGCTAGAAATATGTTCCAAATTAACTAAAATCGCGGGTTACTCACGTGAATATACTGAGAAAAGCTATACTAGTTTCGAACCACAGAGGGGTTCTTCGTCATGAGCTGCGCGACGTCGCCGCGACCGCACACGCTGCTTTTCTTAGTATACTCACGTGAGTAACCCGCGATTTTAGTTAATTTAGTATGTCTCACGATAGTTATTATAAAAATATTATTATGTTCCAATTTTGGCTAGTGTTCCCCTCTCATTTGGAACCACTGAAGGTTATAACCATCATTCTAGAAAACTAAATAAGTATATTGCACCTAAATTTCCACCAAAGAAATACAGTATAAGACCAAATACTACATTTTTATATTCTCTCCTTACAGAAAACACATGAAGGAATGTCAGTTCGAATATGAACCATGCTGCCCTCGTTTGACTATACAATCTGAATATGAAGTCGATGGCAAAGTCGATGCAGTATCGGTGCGAGGAAAAGGGACATTCAAAATCACTTACGGTGAGTACGTTTCATATATGTAGGTGCATTTATACATATTTACATTTATACGGTAGGATTTCAATGAGATCTAAAGGAATATCAGAAAATATTATATTATTATACACTGTAAAATTTATGTCGTTTTCGTCCCGAAGTGAAATGGTTCTGTCTCGATAATACAAAAGTTTTCCAAAGGAAAAAAACATGTAAAACAATAAACAACCAGTGAACTATTGCAAAAAGTAAACTTCGAAAGTGCATACGAACTCATAGTACATAATTAAAACATCACGCCATGTACATACATAATTCTCAAAGTTTTTCGTCGGGTAGCACGTGCGATGCGAATAGTGCCTAAAAATTCACATCTAGTGTCTCATTATGCGAAAGTCAATGAATATTTTTTTTAAACTAAGAAACAAAATACGACTTTTTTTGGTTTTAATTTATGCATCGAAAGCACTGCTTATGCGTTGTTTTGCCGCGAGATAAAAACGAAATAAATGTCACGGTGTAGATACTACCATTTCAGTCTATGTTATAAAACAATGAGTTTTAGATTATTGGTGATTACTACAATGGGGATGATGACAGGGTATAAAAATTAAAAATATAATTAGTCCGTAAGTTAGGTAATAAAAAAATCTTAGACACGTATATTATCATTTTGTCGTATAATAAAACAATACTTAGATAAAACGAATCAAAGTTTAGGAGTGGGGGCCTTTTTTTTAAGGGGGGAAAATCATCGAATGACTGCTCCCGCCTGGGTGCGGCGGAAGGGAGGGTCAGACTCTTACTGACTAAAAACCACCCCGTTCCTTCTCCTGCAGCCCCGGTTACCCGTTAGGTTCTCCGCGACAGGAGTGGGGGCTAAAACGTCATTTCTTAGTTTTATACTAAGAAATGACGTCACGCGACATCCGTTCCCGTAAGAAAATAAAAATATCGTGTCTAATGTTTTTAAATAATCTACCAGACGGACATTAAAATAAAAATTAGTCGTCTACCCTATTATATGTCATTAATTAAACCAAAATAGTTATAAACAACATTTAATTTATTGTCTAGTCAACCAAAACGCTTTCGTTTAGTTTTCGTAACTCCCGTGGGTCTGTAGACAAAAGACGAGTAAGATGACTGAATTGATAAAGGCCCAGCTCTTAAACTATCTTGAGAATTATATATACTTGTAACCAATTTTTAAATTAATTAATTAATTCTTTATTTAATTTTAAAAATAAAATCTGGCTACATAATTCACAAAATAATTAACGAGATTATTTTATTTTTCAGAGGAAATCTACATCCATATCCTAGTAAATCAAAAAAAAGAGAAATTCCCGGACAACAAAGATCATTATCGTATTTTAGACCACACAATGCAATTAGACCTGCGAGGAAATCACACATACGAATACAGCAACTTGATATTCAGCGAAAGTGGCAGATGTGTGAAATGTAAGGGATTTTATTTCTTTTTTGTGTTGCTTCAAGATACACTTAATGAAAAGAGATACAAATTAATATTAAATGAATGAAATAGCGATGCCAGGTATATTATTAATCCTAGAAAGTCTCTTTGTACAATACGTTAAGGAAACCTGGTTTTATTAATTATCTAAGTATGCAATCACATTAAAAAAATTGTCTTTTAATGGCAGTCGCACCAAAATACAAACAAATTATGGTTAAGCGCCATCTATCTTCTACATGTGGAACTACAAAGATAATTTTATTCTAGGTAATCCAGCGGTGAGGGAGAAATATTTTGCTAGATTTGAAGAAATCACACGAGATTCGCTTGTAGGGGCTTTTATTGACAAACTCATGGAAAATATTCGAGATTTTCACGTAGCAAGGCCCGTTGACGAATTATATTACAAGTATGTTTAATGTTCGACCGATTTATTTGAATAAACAAAAGAATAACTCACAACAGTTTTATCATTTTTAACCGACTTCATTTTACCTGATATTGAAACCTATGAGCAGCATCTCATATGTACTAAATACGCACATATCTCATGATTCTTATATTTATTTTTTTATGGGATAAACGAGTAGATGAATCACCTGATGGTGAGCAATCGGCCGCCCATAGATACCTGAAACACCAGAGGCGTTACAAGTGCATTATCGGTCTTTTGGAAACCGGCCCATTCGTGATAATGCAACGCCCATTTTTAATGGTTACCTTATTGATTCCTTGTTAACATTTTTGAACGCGACTATAAGCTACAATCGATAAGAAAATATCATTTTAAATACATTTATTTTGTCAGCTATAGCCGACCGTGGCGGTCAAAGGTTAAAAGGGTGATATTTGTGTGTTCCATGTTATTACTGAGTATAAAGGTGCTCCCTCACCGGGAACATTCACGTGTAATGTAATATTTTAGATTCGACTTTGAGCATTACATTACAATATTACCTCCTTGACTAACGAGCATTTGTGTGTAATGTAACATATTGATTCGACTTTGAGCATTGCATAGCAAGATGTCAGGCGAAGCAGACGGGCGGGGGCTGGGGGAAGTGTTGCGCATTGATGTTACAAATTGTATCAAGATATTACAGATTGTATCATTACAAGACTGCTCGGTTGGTGCGGTGGCTGGGCAACCGGTTGCCGTGCAACGTGTCGCGGGTTCGATTCCCGCACGGGACAACCCTTTGTGTGATCCACAAATTGTTGTTTCAGGTCTGGATGTCATTGTGTATGTGAACTTGTATGTTTGTAAACGCACCCACGACACAGGAGAAATACTAGTGTGGAGCAACGTTTAAAAAAACAGATGCGCAGTGTACTGCTCGGTTCTCCTCCTTCACTGATGTAATGCTCAGATCTGTAATGTTACATTACACGCGAATGCTCCCGGTGAGGGAGCACCTTAGTGGAAAATTTTCAACTCAACTCAAATAATTAATAAAAACACGGGATTATAAACCTAGACAGATTCACACAGAACCTGTGCATAATAGCACCATTATACCATCGCCTTCCCGGAGGTTATAATAAAACCTAGTATGTTGTTAACAACATCACAGTAAAGTGACTAATATGTTTGATTTTATTTTTTTAAATGGGTAACATAAATATTTTTAATGGCTGCTTTAAAAGGTGTTTCTCAGAATTATAAACATTAAACTTATCACCATCAAAAATATATAAAAAAGACATGGGACTTAAGTATTCACATAAAATCATAAATTAAATATATTTTTTTTAATTAATTTGAAATAAACAAAACCTAATGAATATTAAAATACATATAATCTAAACAAAAAACTTACTGTTTTTTTATTAATACGTAGGTCTAATAATCAAAAAAATAATCTATACAACGCATAGGAAAATTTATACAACTCACAGGAAAATTAATACAACACCCAAAAAAACACACACACATACATACACATAAACACACCACTGTGCGTCATATTTTATTATATTTAATTATTTGTTAGTATAATTTGTAGGTATATTATATGTAGATTTAAATGTGTATATACACATATTATAGTTAACGTCACAAACACACCATTGTGCATCATATTTTAATCGATTTAATTATTTGTTAATATAATTTGTAGGCATATAATTTATATACAATAATAAGATCGCCCATTGTACACTTTACTTTTGTTGTTGTCCTATGTGTTTATCTCGTGTACAATAAACCCTTTATAAATAATTTAATACAAAACATGTATTGTGTCCAAGTGTAGTTTTAACTGTACAGATTTTTTTTTATTTCTATTAATTTTTTTGGGGTTTTTATCCACATGGATATGCCAACCCCATCGTACCCTCTTGGTTTTAATTACTACTTGGTTTTAAGTAATAATATAAATAAATTAATTTATCGAGAGAGAATCATCAATTAGGTATTTTTGCTAAACTGTACAGATAAACTGCACGGTTTATTGTAAGATCTGTAGCCTGCATTAGTCATTATATTTCAATAGTGACAACAAGAGTGACACTGTTATAGAAGTTTAAAAAACATTATAAGCAAACTGAGAACGTGTTTACATCTATCATTAGACCCGATACTTTGTTTACAATTCAAAACACAAATACCTACTTTTACCGGCTGGGATGGTGGGCATAAAAATATCGGAATTATTTAATGAATTTTATTTTATGGGATCACCCGATTATCGAGCAGACGGATCATCTGATGGTAAATAATCGTCGTCGCCCATGGACACCTGGAACGCCTTTTGGAGATAAGGAGTTTGAGGATCATTGGGGATTCAGGGATTGGGGAGATTGGGGAAGGGGAGGGTAATTGGGCCTCCGGACTCACACTACGACACACAACGCAAGCGTAGCATCACGTCGGTTTTCTGTGAGGCTGTGGTATCACTCCGGTCGAGCCGGCCCATTCGTGCCGAAGCATGGCTCTCCAACACTTAAACCACCGCTTACCGAACACGGAAGATTCGGTAGATTCCTATTTTGGATCGGGCAGGAGCAACGAGGTGGGTTTTAGTCAGTAAGAGTCTGACGCTTACTCTCGCCTCACCTGGGCGAGAAAAGTCATTGAATGTATTTCCCCCTTCAAAAAAAGGGTGTCGTAGGTACCTAATTTTCGTCAATTATTAAGATCTGTTACATATGTACATACCCAGTTTGCATAGACTGGGCACACTTTTGCTAACTAACTACGAGTGCGAATTTTCAAAATCTCCAAAAATACAAACCATTCTTCGTTCGAACAAAGACTAGAACTAAATACTCTCATATAAAGAAGCAGATTGCTAACTGCTTAAAGTATTCAAATTCGACGTATATTTTTTTTGTATTATTTACATCTATTGAATAGATTTTTCATGTGTAGGTAATAAATCTTGGAACTGCATAATTTTCAAATTAAAATATGTACATATTTCATAGAAAAATGTTATCATTCAAAAATCTTCCCATTCACATAGTTATGAAAAAGAATAACAAAATTCGTTGCTATAAGTTATTAACAAATCAAATCATCATTACTTTTGTGTGTGTGTGTGTGTGTGACGATTTAGTTTGACAGAGTTAGTTCTCTTATATTTTATGACAAAACAGCCGAAGCGGATCTTCATGCGGTAAGTCCCCTCTTTGAGGAGTGGCTTGAGAGACGCCACGTCGTCCTCACCTACCGCCTGACGCAGGTCCTCACCGGACATGGAAGTTTCGGGAGATACCTGTGTCTGATGGGGCGGGAGGAAACGCCCGGGTGTCATTACTGCGAGGACCGCCCTGAGGACACGGTGGAACACACTGTAGCGGAATGCCCTGCGTGGGCTGAGCACCGCCGTGCCCTCAGGGAAGTGATCGGCGATGGCGACCTTTCGCGTCCGGGCCTAGTGCAGGCCATGATGCGGAGCGAGGGGGACTGGGATGCCGTCTCCTCCTTTTGCGAAGCAGTCATGCTAGCTAAGGAGGAGGCGGGACGCATGAGGCAGCGAAGCGCTGCCTCCTCGTAACCCAGCCATCGCGAAGGACACACCGGGCGTCGGGGATCGCGGGACGATCTCCGGCCACCGTAAGCGCGGGACTGCGGACGGCGAGCATGGGTGGCTCCCCGTCCGACCAGAAACAGACCCGAGCGTGCGGCGCGTCGCGTTCCGCGCGCGCCTCAAACAGCCATCAGACCGCCACAGATGGGGCCCAATAGGGCTGTTGCCGATTCGGAGTCGCGGAGAACCTAACGGGTAACCGGGGCTCCGGCTCGACGTGCAGGAGAAGGAAAGGGGTGGTTTTAGTCAGTAGCGTGAGCAGTCATTCATGATGATTTTCACCCCTTAAAAAAAAGCGGATCTTCATAAACCGATGTAATAATGGCAATTGTGATGATTAATTCTCTATTCACAATTAATCAAATATTCATTCGGAAATCGCCTACCTATTTCTAAACTGAGCATGGCCCACCATGACCCTTAACCTACATAACTTTCTGGTTATCAAATATATTAGAAATCGGGATGGTCGTCGGTCCACCTTATCGTGGAATATTCTGACAGACAAACAGCAGAAAGCAGGCCTATACGGTCTTTAAGAACTTTGATCAAAATCCGTACAAGAATAAAAAAGATGAGCGAACACCTTTGAGCGTCCAAGAAGTCGGAGGCATTATCATCAACAGCCCATAAGTGGGCACTGGGAGCAGTCTCTTCTCACACGGAGAAGGTTTGAGCATTAATCAAAACGCTTGCTCGCGATATTTTCCTTCATAGTTTGTCAGTAATGTCTAAATATCTTAGAAAGTACATAATAACTCGGAAAAAGTCACATTGGTACTTGCCGTTGGTAGGTTTCGAACCCGCATCCTCATGCATGAGATGCGGGCGTTTTACCCTTCGGGCTACCACGACAGTCGGAGGCATTTAAGTTACCTTATAGCAGTAAATTTATGATTGCTTAGTTTTAGCTCCTTATAATAATTGCTTAGCTACATAAATGTAGTGAGGAATTAACTTAGATGTTGTCTGTACAATGTACATCCTTGTCGAATGTTATTAAATAAAGAATTATTATGAAAACCGCTGAAAGATTTGTCTTTGATTAGTAACTGATATTATCTGCAGACACTATGAAATACAATACGTATACAAGGTTAATTAAAGCTGATTTGAATAAGCCTTTAATTGCTTTTTCGACAAATGTGTGAAAAATTACTATTTCAAAGCTTAATCTGCGATAACACCTAATCTATAAAGATTTTAAGGAGCAGCTTGTAGTCACATTTTGCCATTCGATCCTTAATGATGTTGTGGACACTACGTTTTTTAATCGTCTTATTTTATTTTCGCAATGCCTTTGGTAAGTACTTTGACTAGTATTATTTTCTGTTTGAATTTTTATGCAATCTTTTTATTCAACAATCTCAATTTTTGTCCAAATTACCCTAAGTATTTTTAAAAGTCCTTTTTTGTATGCTTTTGTCAAAAAACATAACTCGTCTTTCCCATTTTGATTCGCGTCAAATAAATAAAAGTCTTGTCAAAAATATTTTCTTTTTACTCCTAAACCATTATTATCAAACCCATAAATTGTAGTAAAATATGTATTTTCACCCTTTTCAGCGTTGAAAAAACAATTCTGTGCACCTTCAGATAACGTATGCCTAACAAAAGCAGTACAAGAACATGTATACGATAAGTTTGTTAAAGGTCTAAATGGAGTAGAGCCATCTGACCCACTATACTTGGACAAAGTTATAGTTAATCAAGCTAACTTTAATTACACTCTCTATAGACCCATGCTATTAGGAATGAGGAATTGTAATTTTATGAAGTTAAGGTAAATATACAACCTAATTTTAAAGAGCAAGCAATTGCGTAGTGTGACAGAAGTTAAAATTCTCTAACAGCTATAACATCCTCTTCAACCCAGCCTATCCTACTTATCTCCGAGACCGTTTCTCCTTGGTGCGCCCTCCTGAAGTCCTTACTCGTTCTCATCTTAAATCCTATCTTAAAATTGTGCCCCATAATACCGACTTCTACACCTATTCCTTCTCCGTTCATGCAGTGAGACTATGGAACTCGCTCCCGCCGAACATTCGGGACGCCCAAGTCTATCTCTATATTTAAGAGCAAGTAAGAGAACATTATCTTTCCTCGTGAAATATAGATTTGTTTGTCTGTATTTATATATATGTATTGTAATTGTATTATATTAATTTGTTTTATTGTTTATTATTGTTATTTCTATTGGTGTCTTCGGTATTATTCCTTTTTTTATGAATTGATTTTTATCTTGTTTGTGTAACACACTATGTGTCTCAGTGTTGTTATTTCTTTTCCTGCCACAGGCCCACAGGAAGAAATTCCAGTTGGAAGATATGGGGCCTATTTACTCTGTTTTTATATTATGTATTGTCCTCTGTGTTGAATATGTGTATGTACATAAATAAATAAATAAATAAATAAGATTAAGCAGAAATACAAAATGACAATAGATGTAACCAAGATAGCAATGGCTGAAAGCGAAAATCAAATTGCGATTCTGTAGTCAGCATCAAGAAATAAGATTCAAATGTATTTAGGGTTAGCACTAACTAACACCAGTCGAGTAGATAAAGACCAAAAGAAAAGAAACTTTCGAGCCCCAAAAATTTGTAAAATGTTTACCTCAAGAATGTCTGTCTTCACCTACCTTCACTGACGGACTGACTGACAGATTATTATTTATTTTGTATTTGTTGACGTTTCTAAAGTACTAAATTATGGTTTGATTAATAAAAATGCTTTGACTTTGACTTTGAATATTAAAAAATTCTAACAATAACATTCTCAACTTGCTCAACTTAAATACTTGACATAGTTCTCAGTACTAGTTTGTTGTTAATATTTGGTTTCTTATGTTTCAGATTAACGCAAGATGAAATATCTAAAGTAACTTATGAACTAGAGTGTCCAAACTTGACGATTAAAGCTGGTTATGAAGTGAAAGGAACTATTAACAGGATTCAAGCAGAAGGAAAAGATTTTTGTGAAATTGCATTCGGTACGTATAACTAAAGTATAAAAGAAATGCAAAGTCTGATGAGACAAATGTGACAACTATTAGAATACTGTCTACAGTACTAACTGAATTGTTGTTGTTAAAACGCGTAAACCGTTCTTATATAGCAGTCATTCGATGATTTGCCCCCCTTAAAGAAAACCATAATGCTGTTGTAGTTTACCAGATTAATTTTAAATAATCTATTCGCATACAGAAAAATTCATTTAAATCGGTCCAGCCGTTTAGGAGGAGTTCAATGATATACACACGTACAGCAGAATTATATATATACAGATGTATGGGATTCGTACTTTCATCAAAGGCTTTTATAATATTTTTAAATAAAAAAAAATGTGTTTCATTACAGGCGTCTACAACCTGAATATCAGTGGTATATATGAAAGAACGATGGGAGACGATGGCAAACTGCACTTCCATATACTCTCCTACAATCTAGAACTAGATCAAAAAGCAGTATCAACAGTATCGTATCACAATCTTTTTACTCATCCCACTGGAATGGGTAAGATGATCTTAATAAAGGCCGTCACAGACCTAGATTTAAGATATTTAATTTAGCGAGTTATATACTATAATTCTGCCTCATTGGCCGAGTGGGCGCAAGTGCGACTGCTGGTCAAGAGATCTCGGATTCGATTCCCGGGTCGGGCAAAGTATTACTGGGTTTTTAAAAATCTCAGTAGTAGCACGGAGTCTAGAAATGTGCCCGGTATATGGCAATAGGCTCACCCCCTATTACATGGGACTAATAACATAAATAGTGAAAAGTGGGCGTTACATTCTACAGTGGCATTAAGTGCCGTAATGTGCACCTCTATCTACCCCTTCGGGGATAAAAGGCGTGATGTTATGTATACTAGTTGTCACAGAACTATACAATAATATATATTTTCTGCGATTGGATCGATTTAAATATAATATATAACAGTATATTTAAATATATTAAAGTAAAACTGGACGTGTTACTTTTACTTGTTACAGTTTTATACAGTTACTGGAGTTTTAAATAGTTTGAATATTTGTACGACCCACCTAAATGTTCTTTTATTTGATATAGTTCATCATCAGTCAGCCTTACGTACTTACTTACTGTCTCAGCGTACTGCCGTCGTGAACAGGACCCGTTCTGACGGCTCAAGCTGTTGTCAGTACAGAATGAACTTGAAATATAATTCTCACGCTATTCTAGAAATCAATAGCTGTACTACTATGAATAAAATTAAGTGTCATGTTTTATTTCCAGATGATTATTTTGGTAAAAATTTGGAGAAGCAGACACGAGATTTAGTAATGAAGAAATTTTTAAACAAATATGTCAACAACCTTAAAGACTTCCAGCGAATCGTACCCATAGAAGAAGTACACTTTAGATTCGTGTCTGAATGAATTATAATAAAATTATTATAAATAATAATCTTATTCTTTCATTAAATTATTTTAATTTATAAATTATCTTTAACATTAGTAATAAACTGTTCGAACAAATAAAAAAATGATATTTTTCTTAAACATTTTTTATTGTTGCCCTATGTTATTATATTATTGTGTCGTGGTGGCCCAGAGGTTTAAGACGCCCACTTCTCATGCATGAAGGTGCGGGTTCGAAACCTACCAACGGCAAGTACCAATGTGACTTTTTCCAAGTTATATGTACTTTCTAAGATTGTATACACCATTGACAAACGGTGAAGGAAAACATCGTGAGGAAACCTGTGTTTACAATTTCTAATTATAAGTTTGTAATCGCCAACCCGCATTGAGCAAGCGTGGTGATTAATGCGCAAACCTTCTCCGTATGACAAGAGGCTTTGGGTATTAATAGGCTCAGCAGTGGGTATTAATAGGCTGTTGATGATGATGTAATTATAAGAGTTCCTATAAGAGACTGTCAATTAAAAAAACCTAAGCTGAATAACATAATATTTAAATTGAACGACGGCACTTAAAGAAATTCTACTAGATACTTTTTTATTTTTAGTCGATCTCTGGTTTTTACTGTAACCTGCCTGATAGTGTGCCATAATAAACCCCTAAGATTGGCAGGTGACTTGAAACAAAAATTTGGTAGTTGTGGCTGCTGGAGACAGTCTTTACAAACCCAGCTACTGGCGCACAGAGTGGGTACTTTAAGCCCAGTGACCTCAAGCAAAAGTAGACAATGGCAACGTGTTGCCGAAATAAAATAAAAACTAGCGCCTTTTGAAGGTTTTCCTCCTACATCAAAAGAGGTTTTATGTTTGTGTTATACGTAAATTGTAAAGCTTATTGTATAGTAGGTATTAAAAACTATTTTGAAAACGATATATCAAACAGTACTTTCCCGATCACGAAAATCTGAACACATCGTAACATTCACATTTAATAGTGAACTAGAAACTATCAAAATTTAAAACATTATAATTGTTAACATGTAATTATCAATTCATATGCCAATTGATATTAGAAAAACAAACATTCAGGCACAGTTTTTTTTACATTATGGCGTGTAATCATTTTAACAATAGTGATCACTAACATTTTTAAAGAATCAAATTATTTTATTGCTAAATTCTCAAATATATTCTCATATGACTGCCTCGTTGGCCGAGAGGTCGCAAGTGTGACTGCCGGAAAAGGTTCTCGGGTTCGATGCTTAGGTCGGGCAGAGTATTACTGGGTTTTGAAAACAATTCTCGGTAGTAAGTAGCACGGAGTCTGGAATTGTGCCGAGTGGTCGCAAGTGTGACTTCTGGAAAAGGTTCTAGGGTTCAATTCTCAGGTCGGGCAGAGTATTACTGGGTTTTGAAAACAATTCTCGGTAGTACCTAAGTAGCAAAAGTCTGGAATTGTGCCCGATATTGCGTGCCTCCTAGTAAAATATGGCTAAGCTCGCAATGTACCTAACTAAACATCACATGTTATTGTGTTACACACATAACAACATAACATCACGCCTTTTATCCCTGAAGGGGTAGGCAGAGGTGCACATTATGCCACTGTACAATGTAACACCCACTATTCACTATGTATGTTATGAGTCCCATGTAATAGAGGGTGAGCCTATTGCCATATACTGGGCACAATTCCAGACTCCGTGCTACTACTGAGTTTTTTTTTAAAACCCAGTAATACTTTGCCCGACCCGGGAATCGAACCCGAGACCCCTTGCCCGGCAGTCGCACTTGCGACCACTCGGCCAACGAGGCAGTCATTGTGTTACCTATATTGCAAATAAAATCTTTAACTTTACTACGATGAAGTAAACCTGTAAGTGTAAGGATAAGCTTACGTCTAAACTTAGACGTAAAAATAATTCTTAAAAAGTTATTGATTGTACATTGGAGACGAATATCATTTCTTACAATCAATAGTTTTGATAAAAAAAACTAATCGTTTTGTTAGAAAAGAAAAAAAAACTTAATATATTTGAAAGTTCTATAAATTCTAGAAGGTGAAAGGTATGTAAGAATCGTAGCTATTGGCGTTCTATAGTTTCTGCCTACCCCGGCAGACAGGCGTGAGGTTATGTACATACATATGTAGGTATGTATGTTTGGAAGTTTTAATTTTTTTACAATTTTGCAAATCTGTTTAGGTGCCTATTAAAATTTAACACTACGTAAACCGACACGTAGCATTTTAGTAAAAAAAATTAATGTGTTTGAGAAGTAGGTACCTATTTCTGCAGCTATTTAAGGAAGTTAAACGAATTCAAGATTTTCGAGGTCCAAAGATTAGGTATTTGGAATTCTAGCTAAAATTATCTTGAGTTATTATATCCACTTTATCGTGCACGTTTATATTTTATAAATACTAAAATCTCATAAAACAATGGTTATTATTTTCTGAGGATTAAACCTAAAATGTTCTCAGTAAAGTTAATTTTAATTTTTTTGAGTTTTAAATGTGTGCTATGTAAGTATCTTTAGTGTTTAAATTAGATTTCTACCAACAATTTTAGTGTCGGGGCCTGGCTACTCAAAAGACTCAAAAAATTGATTCCGACTGCCAAGAAATGGCAATATGGCAAAATGTCGAAAAATACCCACTACACAAAGAAACTGTGTGTTTTTAAGTTTTGATCTCGTCGAAAATGTCATGTAGAAAATTAGTAGGTGTGTGCTGTATATTTTCTCTTTTAAAATTGTTTTATAATTTTCATAAATCAAAATTCTAGGTCTGCAAAAACAACTTTGCTACAATGATGACGAGTGCCTCATGAATGCAGTGATCGAGAGGGTGTATCCAAGATTTTTGGCAGGAGGAAACGGAGTAGAGACTTCTGATCCTCTTCACATCGACGCCATTGTTACTGACCTGCCAACCCTCAGATATGGTTTATACAATGCTTCGATAATTGGCTTTAAGGACTGTGAATTTGTGAAATTGAAGTAAGTCGTTTTACTTAATTTGTCCTTTTGCTTCATGCCCTTTTAGAGTTTTGTTTTCCTTTTAGAGTCTATTATGAAATATTAACCTGTATTTGTTTATATCAAAGTTAGTCTCAATTTCTTATTGAGATTTCAAAATGAGTAGGTAGAATACGTTTGACATTACTTTTATTTTCACCACGGCACAAACCCTATATACCCATTAGGGACCTACACATTGACAGATATAGGCATTAGAGGGTATTAGTTCCATAAAAATTAAGCCCGCTTGGTCCTCCTGTTCATAGTCTGAAAGTGGACGTCGATGTTCCTTTTTTAGTCGACTAAAATGAAAATGAAATCAATGACCGGAACTACAACAAATACATTAATAGTGACACAACAATTCTGACACCTTTTTTCTATTTTTTCAGTAATAAACGACTCAACACGTATACGTACTTCGACTATGCAATAACATGTCCAGTTCTTACTCTTCAAGCGCGGTATGAGCTCAATGGTATTATAGACTCAATCCCGGTTGAAGGCAGGGGAATATGTAAAATTGTTTACGGTATGTAGCTACACAAATAAAAATATCTGCTCGATCCTTCAAGCGTTGGCACAAGAGTATTTAACAAAAATTATCTGATATTTAGTGTTTTGAACCAAAATATATCAGGAATTATTAGACTACAATTAATAACCCCAATTCAAAGTTTGTAACATGTAAATAGTGGGTAAACGTGTTCAAAAACGGTATAGCAATGTGCTCATTGATCTATGGAGCCACTTTCCCAGCTTAATCTAGGTGGTAGCAATGGAACTGATAAATGAAATAAATACGGTTAACCAAAAATCAAATCTTTATTAAATTACAGAGAAATACTACATATCTATAAGCGGAAAACATGAAAAAGTGAAGGATGATGAAGGAAAGGAACATGTAAACATTTTGGAATACAAAGTCGTTCCCGATCTGAAAAACGGGAGAGTACGAGACCCTGAATACACAGACTTAACCTTTAGCCAACACGACAAATGTAAGTATTTAGTTCATTCGTTGAATAATATAATAACACATTTACATGACGATATTTTGAAGGAAATGCAAAGCAATTTAGTAAGTCCAATTAGAAAAAACAAATCGTTTAAAAACAATTTGTGTACTCTTTTTGGTTCAGATTATTGAGAACAACGCCATCTTTAGCTTGTGAATCATACTAAGTAGTCTGAGAAGGCAGCGGCGTTAGCGAATTACACAAGGCACAAACAACAACTTTTTTGGCCACGCAAACAACTTTTTTTGTCATGGAATATTTTGCAGGCGTAAAAAATTAAAAACAAGATTAATTATTCTACCGACTTGCATGCCATGGCTCTTTTTTGCAAAGTGGTTTATTTGTAACAACAAAGTGGTATAAGTTATATTTTTATGAAGATTATACATAGTCCGCTGTTTCGGTTTTTGCCCAGTGTATAGCAACAAACAAACTCACTTGCCCTAAAACATGGTTCTCCCTCAGACTTAAAGCACATCAGCAGAAAAGTTACTCATTATTATTATTACATTCCCAGGTAGCGACCGTTTAAGAATAATAGAAGAAATGACTCGAGACATCGTGATGGATGTCTTCCTGAACAAATACATACAGAATCTGAAGGATTTCCATCAACATACTCCTATTGAAGACTTACACTACAAATATGTTCGATAAACTATTTGATTAAACTATTGTCGTGTTGTTTTATTTATTTTCTGACTGAAAATCCCTAATGATACTTAAGCCCAGCCCAAGAATAACCAGAAACTCTTTTGGTAGACTGGCAGTACAGTCAACACTATATTGGTAAACTCGGTTGCCACTCAAGCATAAAAAAGATCTCCTATATACTCATTTAATGAAGCAGTCTAAAAGGAACTCAATGAAAACTCAGTATATAACAGTACGGAGTCTTAAATAGGGTAGATGCCTAATTTTTATTTTAATGTCCGTCTGGTAGATTATTTTAAATCATAAGACACATATTTTTTTATAATATCGCGTGAAGTCACTTCTATGTACATTTTGTACGTAGAAATGACGTTTTAGCCCCCACTCTTAAACTTTGATTCGTTTTATCTAGTTTTATTATACGACCAAATAAAAAAATACGTGTCTAATATTTTTTAATTACCTAACTTACGGACTAATTAAATTTTTAATTTTCATACCCTGTCATCATCCTATTGGGCTAATGCAATAGGCTAACTATATTATATGAGATTTTTAGCATTACTTGTGATGAATTACACTATACCTCTATATTACAGGGTATCCCAGAAATTGAGGTCACGCCTTAAAATCTGTAAAGTGGTAGGCAAAGGTACGCATCATATAAGAAGAAAATACCCTATTGGTTGCCTATTAACGAGACTGGTGAATGATAATAAAAATCAAATCATCTCGATTAACTTCTGGATTCGTGACGCATTTGAATAAAATAAACGATGGGTTGCACTCCGAGAGTGCCGGCAGAAGTGAAAACTTAAGTATTAGCTTTGGACGTTTTGGATATTTTGGAATAGTTATGGAATAATTGACGAATTGCTTCAATTATCGGAATAAAAGTATTATCTTTTATGTTGTAGAATACAATATTTATTTATTGCGCTATAGTAAACAAACATGACAATTTATATTACATTAAATTACATTTATATTCCTCAGGAAAATCAACTTTCATCCATAGTTTCGACGACTTTTTCTCTATCATTATTACCAAAACCATCATCGCCAATCTCTAAAACTGATACGATAAATGATAAAGCCGGCGCAGGCATACATTTTCGCCGCGCCGTAAAAAAAGAGGGGGATACTCCCTGTCCTACGCCACGTCAGCTGTCCACTCTCCATCCGTCTTACGAATTTTCGATCAGGTCACGTGTACTGACGCGAGTTTAAAATTTTTACCCATTACAAAAGAGTGTACACCGCCGCTAAAGAAGTTTCACTTCAAAAATGTATTTAAGACAACTAATTATAAAATCATGACTGTATATCAGTGTTGCACAATGTTAATAAAACTATATTATACGGTATTTTGATATTCATTAACAATTAAGTTAAACTAGATACGCCATCATTTTATGCTTTGTTCTGATACATTTAGTGTTCATTTTTGAACCAATATTGAGCTTGGCTGAATTCATTATAAGTCGTTATGTATATTGGCTCATCTCGTTTTTTATAGTCCCCAAAGTCGATGTATGTGATCACAGGATGTATGTGGCCACTACCAATAAATTACCAATAATTTTTTTCATTCCAGAATTCAAACCAAAATTTTTATGTTTTTATACTTTCGCGAGACATACTAAATTTATTACCTACTATGTTTTTGGCTTATTATTGTTATACCACCGATATTCTATTCTGGATGACACTTAAATTCTTCCGAAACTGGAAGACCTAGAGTGGCAACTTCATAAAACACTACCTACGAGGAATGCTGGATATCCACTTGACCAGTGTCAAAAACCCAAAGCCGTTGGAAAAAGACGGACATAGTCTCTTAAAACAAGCAACTGTGGCACCTGGCTACTATAGACTTACACACAGAATACACACACATTGACACGAACGACATCTGTCGCGTGACATAGCCCGTCATAACACTTAATAAATTACGGTGTTGATCTCTGACATTTTGGTGCTTCAATCTTTTCTAAGTGACATTACCCCCCCCCCCCTTGTTTTTCAACGTCTTGGCGAAAAAACTGGTGCGACTATCATATATTTAAACTCGGCCATTTTCCTAAAAATTTTTTAAGGGGGGAAAATCATCGAATGACTTTTCCCGCCCGGGTGAGGCGAGAGTGTTCAGACTCTTACGGACTAAAAACCACCCCGTTTTTACTCTTACACTTCGAGTCGGAGCCCCGGTAACCCGTTAAGTCCCCAGCTCCTCCTTAGCTAGCATGACTGCTCCGCAAAAAGAGGAAACGGCATCCCAGTCCTCTTCGGTCCACATCATGGCCCGGACTAGGGCCGGACGCGAGAGGTCACCGTCGCCGATTACATCCCTGAGGGCACGGCAGTGCTCAGCCCACGCAGGGATCAAGAACCCTATAGACTCTTCTTGATATTTATTATTACATAACTAAAATCGTTAATTAACTACAGAACCAGAAATGGAAACAATGTTTTTTGTTTATTTTAGGTAAATAGTTTGTTTAACTAGTTTCTATACGGTTCCTTGATTTTGTATTACGCATATAAATACAATTTAATTGTTATTAAGTTGATTTTGTCTAGAACGCCTTGAAAAGCGGCTAACATTATGTTTACCAGAATCATTTTATTCTTATTTTCTGTGTTTATTGGTGTACAACCCGTTCCAAGTACGTATTTTGATTTAATACTTTAATATTTTGAGGTATTCATAACATAACATCACGCCTTTTTATCCCCGAAAGGGTAGGTAGAGGTGCACATTTCCGCATTTAATGCCACTGTACAATGTAACACCGACTTTTCACTATTTGTGTTATGAGTCCCATGTAATAGGAGGTGAGCCTATTGCCATATACCGGGCACATTTCCAGACTCCGTGTTACTACTGAGATTTTTAAAATCCCAGTAATACTTTACTCGACCCGGGAGTCGAACCCGAGACCCCTTGCCCGGCAGTCGCATTTGCGACCACTCGGCCAACGAGGCAGTCGTTTATAGAGGTATTAATACCCAATGTTTCGATACAAGTTTTAAAATAGATGCAATATAAAATGATTCACGTCAGCACTTCTCGGAAGACATAAGCAGTAAGTGCATATAGCATATTATACTTCATTATGAACGTTTGTTATTTATTGTAATTGAAATACAAGTCTATATAATAGTATTATTAAATATACCCCGGCCACAATTAAAGATACCGTATTTTTATAAATTATAATATTGAAAAACAATAATTGTTTGAGGATGACGGTCTAAGAACGGTTCGCGCGCGCGGTTTCAATTCCCACGCGGAACAATAAAATTATTTGTCCGATCAACTAATTCTTATTCCGGGTCCGGGTCTAATGTGCATGGGAATTGATAAAAAATTATATAGTGTACGGTAACGTTTTTTTAACAGAAGAATAACCATCTTTTTCTCAAGAAAAGTAGTTACCTATAAGAAAAGTCGGAAGAAGGACATCTGTAATTTTCATAAGGGCAGACTTTTTAACGCCACTTAATTTTTTACTGTGGAATAACTTTGACTGCCTCTTTGGCAGAGCGGTCACAAGTGCGACTGGGCAAGGGGTTTCGGGTTCGATTCCCGGGTCGGGCAAACTTCAACTGGATTTAAAAAAAATCTCAGTAGTAGCCCGGAGCCTGGAATTGTGTATTGGTGTGTGTATCGGTATATGGCAATAGGCTCACCCCCTATTACATGGGACTCATAACATTATACTGAAAAGTGGGTGTTACAGTGTACAGTGGCATGATGTGCACCTCTGCCTACCCCTTCGGGGATCAAAGGCGAGATGTTATGTTATTATTAACTTTGAATATTTGCCAATTCTTCCATAATACCTAAAAACTATCAAATATTAATTTTAATCTACCTACAGTTAAGAACTAAATGATTATTGAGAAATCATAGTCTGGTAACATGGTAACCAATGAGTTACATTTTATTTATTTATTTTTTATTTAAGTATTATATTAAGTTTTTATTTAAGTTTTTTTTTATTAATGTTAATTATAAGTTTTTATATTAAGTGACAACATTATCGCATCGGGTGTAACCTGTTAGGATGTGTTGAATTAAATAAATAAATAAATAAACATACGTACACACAAATAAACCCATTGACAATTTGGTGCTTGAATCATAACTATATAACCCCTTCGGGGATCAACGTCCGCCTTTTATTCAAAGTCCTTGACTAATAGTAATATTTTCTTTCATTCCAGCTCTAACTTTTCAACAATGTAAAAAGTCCGACGTCCCCTGCCTAAATAAGAATATAGACACTATATTTAAGTACTCTATAAAGGGAGATCCTGATTTAGGTATCAAACCTTTAGACCCAATGCACCATGACAAAGTAGTTGGCGAATTAGGTGTCATTGAATACCAGTTGTATAACAGCACTGTTGATGGATTCTCAAACTGTGATGTGGTTAATACAAAGTACGTATAATTTAATCTTACGTTACTCCTAAAACTAAGCTATTAAGATCATCAACGGAACGTGGCAGTCTACTGGATCTATGGACATTTGGTACTTTCTACATAAGAGGAATCTGAGGTGTACAAGTTAATGATTAAAAGTTTGGCCCATAAATAGCTTAACTTACCTATTGTTTGTATTATACATTATTGAATACTATTTAACTTATTTTTTGTATTAATAAAAATTTTGTAAAACCTGTAAGAAAATTAAGAAAGAACCATGGACATTGTGCAGTTATATAATAATTTGTTTCATCAAATAACATTTATGTAATTGGTTCTTATTAATTGTAACATTTTAATTTTATTAATTGTAACATTTTAAATTTATTAATTGTAACATTTTAACTTTATTAATTGTAACATTTTAACTTTATTAATTGTAACACTTAACTTTGCATGTCGAAAACAGTAGGCAATGTGTATGGGACTATTTTCCCCTGCAATTACCATACTTCGTGCAAATAAACGTTCTTATTCTTATTCCTATTTATAATATTCACTAAATAAATACTTTAACTTCTGATTTCAGACTGGACTTGGAAAAACGCGAATTCAATTTCCGCATTATGTGTCCACTTCTAGTTATGTATGGAATCTACAACATATCTGGTACACTTATAGTGATGCCAATAGAAGGACTTGGAGATTATAAACTTATATGCAGTAAGTTCGTTTTTTACTTTAAAATACATGACAGACGACCTGGTGAAAATGAAGATTTGGTTGAGGTTAGGAAGGTTAGGAATATGAAAGAAAACAGAAAAATAACTAGAAATCTCGTAAATAAATATATGTATTAATTTTTGATTTATGGACTAACAACACAAATTTTGAAAGTAAGATTTTGAAATTGATTATTGCATGCTATGAAGGTACGTTACATACAATAATCGATTAAATCAAATCGATCACTCATTTTTCAAATGTAAATTAATTTATTTGTAGTTAATTGCAAATAGTAAAAGTATTACAAATAGTGCTAATTAAAACAGCAACAATCGATTATGAATACTATTGAATCGTTCGGGAAATAACCAACATTACGTTAAATATATAGAAAATGCAAAACCAGTAATCTCGTACAATTATCTTGAACTAAACAATTATTAATATCAAATTACAGAAGGTTACGACATACAAGTTGAAACTGATATAAAGATTAATCAAGATAACGATGGAATGAAACACATGGCCGTGAAATATTTTAAAACTGACGGTCAATTAACTATAGGAATGACTACTGATCTCCAAAATCTGTTTGATGGAAAACAACCACAGCTAGGTAAGTTCCTGTATACTTTAAGGGCCGATTTTGCAATGATCAATAAAATTGACATTTGACTTTTTAGTATAGTGAATTGTCAAAAATTTTAACTTATTCCTTAGTTAAAATTTATCGGAGCATTGAAAAATTGGCCCTAAATTGAGTTTCCATAATGGTCAAGTTTAGATGAAACTATAAGTGAACTTCTTGCATCCAGCAGCTCACTGCGAGTTTTTATCTGGAAGTAAATGGAGCCACTAGCGTCTTTTTATTCTTTTGCATTTCTTGATCAATATTTTCTTATACAAGTATTTTATTAATTTTAACTTATGTCGTATAAAAGGCAATTTAGTTACCTTTAAAATGAGAACATTTCAATGTAAAAGGAATATTTTTTATAGTTATAGAGGATTCAATAAAATTAATAAAACGCATGGCTACGTTTCGTTGCTCCCAAATGTAGTTTGTGGGCTGACATCATTTGCTAAGCTTGTCGGCTGACCTGGAAGTCATTAACGGAAGCTTATATTCCGCAGTCAACATTTAGTAGCTGATTAGCATTAATTGTGATTATGATCCCAAGGTTGAATTATAATAAAAGATTTTTGAAGGGTCAAATTCTCAATTGATGAGAATGCAAATTGCGAGTTGTCGTTTGACGTGGAGGACTAAAGGGAAGGCGTTTGTCCAGCAGTGGACGTCTTTCAGCTGTTGATGATGATGATGATGAAATTCTTGGTTTAAGAGATACGACATTTTTGACATTTTCCTTAGAACTCACAAAACATGGAAATAAAATTATTCTTATACTAGCGCAATAAATAACAAATTCGTAGTAAAATCCATAATTTTAACTCTTCCATAGTAACAGGTAAGCAGAATTCAAAACATCGGCTGGAGTACTTCGTTAGTTTCTAACTAACGGCAAACTCGTCATATTTCATGGTGCTAACAACACTGGCGTGTGCTATGGTACATATTTACATAGGGTGGAAATGCTGACCTTTCGGAAAACAGAGGCTGTACCCGCTGTAACTTGAATACATTAAAATCTAGACCTGATCCACTACTGAAAATGTTCAGAAATGTTCGATAGAAGTAATTTATTGTTTATGCACATGGCTAGAGACTGAGATACTACTTTGGCGCTTATGCATAAATCAATTTAAAAGGCAATGTTTTAATTTAATCAGGGAAATTAATCTCTACTGTCAAGATTGGCAATGCGTAGGTTTATAGCAAAAAACAAACAATTCCAAAATATGTAAAATAAATATGCAAAATATGATGAAATTTAAATCATAAACGTTCCCTAAATTTTCTTCTTCATCCAATTTATTCCTGTTTTCTCCTAAAATAAACATCTCAACTGATACGGGTACCTAATCATCCATCATTTGGTGATTAGCACAGCATTTTGTTCTTGTTAGTTAATTGCCACTTACCTTAACTTAAACTGAGCCCCTACATTATTTGGGTCAGCGGTTTTCGTTAACTGGGCCATGCCAAAGATCCTGTGGCTTTTCTAATAATATACTATGGGTAGCGTCCAGTTTGGTGGCAATAAATTGGATTAACTGAAGTGTAATATACTGAAACGAAAACTTTTCTGTGACTTTTATTATTAGAATTAACTTTTATTTGATTTGTTTGTGTAACAATTATTATAAATGGCTTCCAGTGGTTGGGGGTTTCTTTTGTATTTTGTTTTTGTTTGTGTTTAAGATAGTTTAAATAATTATGTATACGAAGGTAAATAAAATAGCTTTGAGAGAAATAGCTTTAGAGGCCAGTGAGACGCTGATTTTCTCTCTGTAGTTTGGCAAAAATATATTTTTATACATTATGTTTATTGTCGTTATTTCGTCAATAGACGTCGCGGCAGGCCCAAAAAGAAATGAACATCTATCACAAGGATTGGCCGCAAAAAGTTTTACTTAGAGAGGAGTGAAAGGAGGGTAGGAAGGCCTTTGCCCTTCAGTGGGACGAGTATGGCTGAAAATAAATAAATAGACATGTTTATTGGTACTAGAACAATTTCGTCAATATAATCTTATTTTACATCTACAATAAAACAAAATCAATCAATATTCTAACTCGCTATAGACGTCCGAAATAAAACTGCGGAAAAGAAGCGTCCAAAAATTTATCACGAACCAAAATGTTAGTGCCTTTATTCAAAACGCCTACTACTTTTACTTTTTCAATTTCCTTACTTTTTCTCGTAAATCAAACGCACGGACTCACTGTCTCAGCATACATAAATAATTCTTTTGCTTAATGGACCTTAAGAATGTTTATGACTTAAGTTTTCATGGCTTACGTTATTCTGTTCAAACTGTTCCTGCCTTAATATTTTGCTATGAATAATGTTTTGAATAAATATAATGGATTTAGTTTTTCTTAAGTACTTAAATACAAGTTTTTGTATTTCAAAAGTAGATAAGGAACTACTCTACTTTTTTTAAATTAGTCCTTTTTTAAGGAGGAAAATTCCTCCTGGGTGACTCAGGTGGGAGGAGTCATTCGATGATTGCCGCCGCCCAGCGGGAGATTCACCCAGGTGGGATTGTCAGACTCTTGCTGACTAAAAACTACACCGCTGCTACTACTGCCGTTTGAGCCGGAGCCCCGGCAACACTTAAGTCCTCTCGTCTAGCATAAACATTGAATGATTTTGAACACAACAGTTTAAATAATCTTAAGTAGCTCTAGATTTTGTTAGTAACATACAATAAAATTATGTATGTATCTAAGGATGTATCTGCTAGCCTTCAAGAAAGTACCTCTTTGCCAATGGGTAGCGCAAATCGAGCACTATCTGGATATTTGTCTGATTCCTAATCCCCTTATCTTATAAAAAACCTACTTATTTATTATAAAACTTAATAGTATAGATTCAAAAATATTCAATAAATTGTTTATAGGTATTACATTAATATTTTTTTTTATATTTTCAGCCAAAGATGTTCTTAAATTTGCAAACGACAACTGGGATCCAGTGGCCAAGCTGCTCCAAGGTCCAGTGTTCGCCGCTAATTTTGCGAAGATAACCAAAAATATGAACAAATACTTGAAGCATATTCCATTGAATCAGATTATAGAGGAATAAAGTTTATTAATGTTATTATGCATTATTGGTTGTGAAAAATATAAAATATACTGTAGAATAGCTAAATTACCTCTATAATAGTTAAAGCTATTATAGTTGTAAAGTCATAATGACATTGTTTAATATTACAATACTGATGGTCTACAAAACATGATAGTATCAGTCAAAATCTCGATGACTTAAATCTTTTCTCGCCGATAAAATTGGTAATTAAAAATGTTAAAAACATGTTTATATTTTAACTTAAAAATATCCTTCGTACCTGCTATCTCCTTACATAATCCTCCGCACTTTTACCAATGAATAAAAATAGTTTCATTACAAAAAAAAATGTATTCTGTACGCATGTATCCACTTACCATGAATAATATTGTAATAAATAACAATAATATTTCTTTTATAAACTAGAACAAACGCCTTCCAAGTACTACACTATTATTAAAATAATTATCCTTCGTCTTACTGCTTTTTAATAACACTTAGACATCTTTAATAACAAGTAATAATACGCCACTTTTGTACTAATAATACGTTTTATTCATCGTCGTGTGACATGTCATTAATAAATGACAGGTGCAACAAGCGGAACGGGACTTGCTAACTGATTTTTAGTGATAACATATTAACAATATACTTACAAACTTATTTTTTTTGACCTCTTTTTATTCAAAATGTTACCATAGTAATTAAACAAATAAATGTTCAGCTTCATAAGGGTATCCTACCCATAAGTAAGTATGACATGGCTGCCATGTTAATTTACACGAATAGAAGTGATCTTTATTCATTAAACAAATTATTTACATAGTATCTGAAAGTGCTCACAATATTTATTAATTACATTTGTCGATTTGTCCGTCATTTGCACATATTTTTTTTGTATGGGATAAGCTGGTAAACGAGCTGATAGATCACCTGATGGTAAGCAATCGGTGTCGTCCATGGATACCCGGAACACCAAGTGTTCCAAGTGCGTTATCGGCCTTTTAAGGATTAGTAATTTGAGGATTATTGGAGATTCAGGGATTAGGGAGGGGGGAGGATAATTGGGCCTCCGGTAATCTCACTCACACGACAAAACACAACGCAAGCTTTGTTTCACGTCGGTTTTTTGTAAGACCGTAGTATTACTCCGGTCGAGCCGGCCCATTTGTACCGAAACATGGCTCTCCCACACTTTTTTTTAGCTGTTAGTCTTCTATAGTTTTAAACAAATAAATAAAAAATAGTGTGTTAATTCCATAGTTGACTACTTTTTTATTCATTTTCATTAGAATAGTTTATTTACCAATATTTGTCTAAGAAGGCAATGCCACCTAATATACAGGACCCTAATACAACAAGAAATTTACCTGTATCACATGGTTAGATATCTGCCTATTCCTTTACTGACACGTGTAATAGGTAGTGTGATTTAAATAATCTTTAATAGTATCTCAATTTAAACAAGCAATTATAAATGCTGACTTTAAATTTAAAGTGTTGACGGTAATTGTAATAATTTAATCTTTTCGATACTTTACTGTAGTGCTTAATTGATATAATACAAAGGAGATGCTAGGCATGCTGTTTTGGGTTCGATACTTGGAAATATGTGGATGGAATTGTGCACGGTATATAGCAATAGTGCCATATACTGGGCACAATTCCAGACAGAGGGTTGAGCCTATGCTCACCATGATGAGTCCCATGTAATAGGGGGGCTCATTACATAAATAGTGAAAAGTGGGTGTTACATTGTACAGTGGCATTTAAGTGCCGTGATGTTATATTAAGTACCAAGATAGCACTGTGGTCTATCTCATATTCTTTGAGTAAAGGGATGTAGGGGGTAGGAGGGAGATACAACTGGTAAAATAATTCAATGCTATGGCAATAAATAAACACTTCTTATCGTTATCTTTTTTGTTCGATTTTGTTGTTACTCAAAGTAGGTTTTAATATACTTATAAAGTTCCCAAAATAGGTTTATGTGATGTATTCTATTCCTACTAACATTACCTTTCTAACTAATAGTACATATATTTATTTTTTTAAGGTAAATGTAGTAATAAGTAGTAAATTTAATTTTAGCTTCTGTACTGTTACAATTATTACTGAGTGGAACCCACTCAACGTCAGTAGACGTCGCGGCAAGCCCAAAAGGAGATGGCGGGACGAATTAGATAGAGAGGAGTGGAAGGAGGGTAGGGAGGCCTTTGTCCTGCAGTGGAACGATCATGGCTGAAAATAATTAAATGAATAACTGTTACAATTGAGAAGTTTGTTAGTTTATGTATTTGAATGCGATAGCATATGAAACTACTGATTCAAATTTAGAAAACCTTTTTGTGTTGATCCATGTAGATGAATCCATATAGATAATTATATAGAAACAGGTTGTATATCAATAAGAAGTCTGTCGTTTCAGCTTAAATGACTATTTAATTTTTCACGAATGTTTTTAACATACATTAGGCCAACGAGTTGTTGCAGTACTCTTACAGTATCCTTATAAAAAATAGATTGAATACATCATTAAGATTTTTGATCTTCTGAGAACATCTGAAATAAACTGCAAGTTTATATTTTTCCAAAAACTAATTACTAGTAAGGTCATTAACCGACTATTGTTTGAACATAATTATGCTAAACATAATATGGGTATACTTAATATTACTTAATAAGGAAATTACATGTTTACATTAAAAGCTTTGAAAATTATTTAAATAATTTATATGGTAAATAAACAGCACTGCTCACGAACACCCGTAAAACTGAAGGCTACGAATTTCAGGTGCGTTTCCAGCCAAACTCTATTAAAGATATCCCAGCAGATACCAGGTTGCTGCAAAATATGTGGATTGTATGACATCTATGCGTCAGTAGAAGCCAAGATCCTTATAGATACTTATCACATCACATCAACAGTCTATAAGTATCCGCTGCTAACCAAAGGCCTCTTCTCGCACGAAAAAGATTTGAGCATTATACATCACGCTTGCTCAATGCATATTGGCAATTTCAAACTTATAATTAGAAATTATAAGCCCAGGTTTACTCAAAATCTTTTCATTTATCAGAGGTGTCTAAATTTTAAAAAGTACATATTCTCGGAAAATATCACATTGGTACTTGCCATTTGTAAGTTTCGAAGCCCCGCTTTCATGCATGAGAAACGAGCGTCTTAAACCTCTGGGGAACCACGACCTGGTACCTGGTACCTATTGCTCTAGACTTTTCATCGATCGTAGCAGACTGTCAAGTATATCAGAAGTAAGAATGCTTAGGTACTCCTGTTGCTCAAGACCCTAAAGCGCAATATGGGAGAATGTATCCACCCAAGATAAGCATTGAGCTGAATGAAAATAATTATTCATCTCGTTACAAAAACAGGCTTTGGGTAGGTATGCAAAATACAAAAAAAAACAGATTATTATGTACGAGGAACTCGACTAGTTTCAAGCAATGCTAGAGGCTCATACCCAGTAGCAGCGCGACAGTCGCCGCGTCGCGGGTCGCGAAGTGCTGCTCATGAATACATAATAATTTATTTAGTATGTCTCACGAAAGTTACAATACAAAAAAAACAAAATTGGAAGAAACAAAACGTGTTTTAAAAAATATAATGTAATAAAATAAAAAAAGTACAATGCAAACTTGCAAAACAGGGTTATGAAGTGTCTGGACTACTTGATAACGAACTATATTTTTTTGATTTTACTGTCAACAGACTTCCTAAAAAATATAACAAGTAACCTGCACCTAATCCACGCTACAGACCTTTTGAATCAACACAAAAACTGTGCAGTTTGACCTGTATGACCTGTATGTCCTGTATAGTCGGACTATACAATTCAATCGTAAGGTAGGTTGCATAGACCTACGGTTTCAGTGTACAGTTTTCCTATCGAAAGACAAACAAAGAACACCATTTGGACCTCTATATGTGCTAAAACAATCTGCCTAAATTTATCACCTACAAAACCGGTTGGTGTAAGGTTTGTAGTATGCATTATACGTATGTGATGTTAAATGCGATATCAATTTAGTAAACCAAGAGAAGTCCAAAGACACTACCTATAGGGAAGATTCCTAGTACCTTACCTTACAACCAACATAGTTCTAGAAGTAGGTAGCATATTTCATCGTCCGTACAAATCGAAATCTGGAATGAGATAGATGTAAACAACTCATGTTTTTCATTAAATTGTCCTCGAAATATTTGTTTACCCATAAAAAAAACTTTCGCAAAAAAATGTATAAAACAATGGTCCTATTTAAACTACAGGCCGTTGTTTATTTCCCAGTAATTAGCAAAAACCGTGTAAAATAGTAGACAGGTATATAATTTATTTTTATTAATCGCGATATTTTTAGAAACATTCATTTTAAATTAATATGCCAAAGTACGTAGCGAATTTAAATGTCGAATAGATTTCAGGAAGATGTTTATCAATTAATTGTATGTCGTACATAATTTATATTCGCCCATGTTTTAGGAAGTGCCGTGCACCAAAGGTTCCTTAGAAAATAACATATTATTAAACATCTAAAATTCATCATTATCATCATCATCGGAACCGACCTGCAGTCAGCAGCTCACTATAACCTTTACCAGATCCCCTATCCACCTTATTAAATCAAACTCAAAACTCAAAAGCATTTATTTCAATTAAACCATAATTTGGTACTTTTGAAACGTTCCAAAATGTAGATTCGAGTGGAGAAAAACGAGCATGAAACTCCACACGTTACTCTTTTAAAAAAAGTCTGTTTTACAATGCTCTTATACATATTCCAATATTGTACACAGAACAATGTAAAGACACACCCTACAATCCTCATGGACTTCCTACGTCATGGGGACGACGTGGGGTGTGCCGGACTCTTAGCGGCTAAAACCACCGCCGTGTTTCTCCTTTGCATGTGGCCGCGACCCGGGACGCCCTTGCGGACTCGACATACCACTATATTGCGACAGGTCCCACTACAAAGCAGCCCTTGCAGGCTGATTACCTTCCTCGAGAGGCGCGTGCGGAACACAATGCTAACGCCTACTCCCGCGATACAGCGGATGACTCCCCTAGTAAGCAAGAGGTACGGAACCCTATATTTTGTATTACCAGACTGATTATTTTTATTATATTGTATTAACAATCATATAAATAGATATTCCGTTGCTATTCTGCACACGGCTAGCTGGGACGGATGTCGACGGAGGCAAAATCCGTTCTAGCCATGCTATCTATACTTCTTCTATTGTTTTGCGCTGTTGTCAGTGTCCTGTCAAATCCAGGTGAGTTATTATATTTTTAAGTATAAACATGAGTATTTAATAATATCTAATGGTAATTAATTATGAAGGGGAAAACGTCTGTAATACTCAAGATCTTTATTTGACTTGGTGTTTGCAATTTTATTTATATATTTTTTTAAATGGTGCCCCTCTCTAGGATTTTATCCTGTATCATGGGTGTGTTTACAAACATACAAGTTCACATACACATGACACCCAGACCCGAAACAACAATTTGTAGATCACGTAAAGAGTTGTTCCGTGCGGGAATCGAACCCGCGACACGTTGCGCGGCAGCCAGTTGCCCAGCCACCGGACCAACCGTGCAGTCAATCAAATTGATATAAAGTTTTCCAATATTGTACACAGAACAATGTAAAGACACACCCTACAATCCTCATGGACTTCCTACGTCATGGGGACGACGTGGGGTGTGCCGGACTCTTAGCGGCTAAAACCACCGCCGTGTTTCTCCTTTGCATGTGGCCGCGACCCGGGACGCCCTTGCGGACTCGACATACCACTATATTGCGACAGGTCCCACTACAAAGCAGCCCTTGCAGGCTGATTACCTTCCTCGAGAGGCGCGTGCGGAACACAATGCTAACGCCTACTCCCGCGATACAGCGGATGACTCCCCTAGTAAGCAAGAGGTACGGAACCCTATATTTTGTATTACCAGACTGATTATTTTTATTATATTGTATTAACAATCATATAAATAGATATTCCGTTGCTATTCTGCACACGGCTAGCTGGGACGGATGTCGACGGAGGCAAAATCCGTTCTAGCCATGCTATCTATACTTCTTCTATTGTTTTGCGCTGTTGTCAGTGTCCTGTCAAATCCAGGTGAGTTATTATATTTTTAAGTATAAACATGAGTATTTAATAATATCTAATGGTAATTAATTATGAAGGGGAAAACGTCTGTAATACTCAAGATCTTTATTTGACTTGGTGTTTGCAATTTTATTTATATATTTTTTTAAATGGTGCCCCTCTCTAGGATTTTATCCTGTATCATGGGTGTGTTTACAAACATACAAGTTCACATACACATGACACCCAGACCCGAAACAACAATTTGTAGATCACGTAAAGAGTTGTTCCGTGCGGGAATCGAACCCGCGACACGTTGCGCGGCAGCCAGTTGCCCAGCCACCGGACCAACCGTGCAGTCAATCAAATTGATATAAAGTTTTCCAATTTAAGATTGCTCAATAATGTTATGGACTTTAAAAAGGTCATTTTGTCAAGTATGGTAAAATGGGGTGAATATATACTATGATAAATTTCCTAATATCTTTGTACTCCTTTTTGGTCTACATTTAGCTCTCAAATTCTATTTATCTCATTGTACCCGGTATTGTACCCACTCCATTGATATAATTATCGTGTTTCACATTATTTAAATTATTGCTATGTATACTGTTACTCTAAAAAACTTTGTATACTGTATCATTCTTGGCCTTTAGTATGATAATATTAAATTCTGTACAAAGTATGTATTATTGTGTAATAATACATACTTTGACATAAAATTGAAATTTTTAAGAAAATCACTTTAATTTAAATGTTTAAATAGCAAAAGCTTTCATAGGGATTCTCCTGAATGTGGTTTCTTGCTTAAGAAGTGACTGTATAAGATACATATTTAAAAGATATAGGAAGAGAAAAGATAGAAATAAAAAGTATTTATTCAGCTCTAAGCACGATGTAGCACTAATAGTTATCTTCTCTCTATATATGTATAATAATTATATCTCTGTTACATTATTAGATAATTTAATTATTGTAACATTTTATCTCATATTTGTCTTATATTCATTTACATTAGTACTTTACATACAAAGTCTATTATAGATGAAGCAGAAATTAACAGAAATATACATTTAAAAATTTTAATATATTGTAACAAAAGAATCAAATCTTATTTACATATTGTATTTATTAATAATAGCACAATGTCGAATAAATTAATTTAAAATACATATTATTTTTAATTTGGCGTCATAGAATTCTCACGTTTTTTTTTACTGCTGTAAGTAGCAATAAAACTTAGGTATAGCCCGCCTAATACCTGGTTTTAATAACTTGTGACGCCAGTCGTTTTACAAATGTGATGCGGATCATTTAAAAATAGGTTAATAAATTATCCAATCGATTCCGGATTGACTCTTCGCCTATTGTAATCAAACGGCAAGTCGAAGATCTACAACTCTCACCTTCCAGCCTAAATGGTTCGGTAAAAGAAGTTCAATTTGACTAATTAGTCCAGAGCTGCTCACAACCTAATAGGTTACCGGGGCCCCGGATCAAAGCTGGAGTAAGAACGGGGTGGTTTTTTGTCACTAAGAGTCTGACACTCTCTCGCTTCGCGTAATAAATGTGGCTTATTAGTTTTTTATAATATGTTATGTGGTTAATATTTCCAATAGCTACTGTCGTTCGGAGTCGCGGAGATCCTAACGGGTTACCGGGGCTCCGGCTCGAAGTGCAGGCGAAGGAACGGGGTGGCTTTTAGCCAGTAAGAGTCTGACACTCCCTTCCACCTCATCCTCGATGATTTTACCCCATTAAAAAAAATTGTTACTGTCATTACAGTACAACATTTGTCATAAGTAAACCTTCTCAACTAAATCTACAAGTTCAGTATTTCATAAATTATTTAAAAAAAAATATAACAAATAGTTTCACTTAATAATTTATTTAATTATTTTTCCAGCTATAAGCCTGTACCAGTGTAAGACCGATGATGACGTCTGCACGACCAAAGCTGTGAATTTGGCGTACCCATTAATTCTTGAAGCGAATCCAGAAATTGGAGCTGAATCCATCGATCCCTTATTCCAACAAGAAATTGAGGGCAACCTCTCTATTTTAAAGTTTAAGCTCTTTAATACAACTGTTACGGGATTCAAATCATGCAGTGCTGAGAACGCTAAGTAAGTCATTGCATTACATTACATACTAGCTTCTGCCCGCGACTTCGTACGCATAATCCCATTTTTTCCCGTCCCCTTTCGTGATTTTCGGTAAAAAGTAAAAAAAAAACATGTTGGTTAAAAAGTATCCTATGTCGGTCTCCTGGCTCTAAGCTACCTCCCTACCAATTTTCAGCCATATCTATTCTGCCGTTCTTGAGTTATAAGTGGTGTAACTATCACGACTTTCTTTTATATAATAAAATATATAGATTTTTGCGGAACTCCTACAAAAAATATTATAGTCATAATATTATTTTTGTACTACTACTAGAGCTTAATAGATCTTTATAAAACAACACAACAACAATTGTGTACAACTAATCCTAAATATTTTCTTTTGATTGATTTACTTTTTTGAAACCACAAAGGTTTTTACATATGAAACCTATACCTATTAAGAATTATTTATGGTAAATAAATACAAGGTAAATAGGCAGCCGAGCAACACACATACCTACCTACCACTATTTCTCTCATTGTAACTTTTTTCTCTTATAAACATTTCAGATACAACGATGAGCAACAAACTTTGCGGGTTGACATTTTATGCGGAGCATTCACTTTGAGCGGTACTTATGACATCAACGGCCAACTTATTGTACTACCGGTCCAAGGAAATGGAGATTATGTCCTTACAACAAGTAAGTCTTTTTTGTTTTCATTGGACATCTTGCTAAATGAGCATACCGTTCTCCTGATGATAAGCAAGACATGAACACCTGCAACCTTTTTAAAAGGCCGGCAATGTAGCTGTGACCATGGGCGGTGCTGATCGCTTACCATCAGATGATCCGTCTGGTCGGTAGCCTCCTATTTCATTAAATAAACGCAATAAAAAAACACTTCACCCAGATGTGCAGACAATCTGTCTTATCGCACGAAACGGGGTGGTTTTTGGTCAGTAAGAGTCAATAAGAGTCAGTGACACTCCTTCTTGCCTCACTCAAGCCGAGAGAAATCATTGAATGGCCTTTTGTGTTAGAGATTTGTGATATACGGTATTAAAAGTAAATAAAGGTAACTTTCTTACGGAAATGTATTTGCTATCATTAGCACTATCACGTGCCTGGCTGTATTTTACATTTTTTTAAAGTCACCCATATTATTATATTAAAGTGTAAACCAAAACTCATGCAATTCTATTTAATTTTTACAGATAAATACCGTCTGATCGTCGATCTGGAGTTGAAAACAGTAACCGGCAAAGATGGCAAGACCTATAGAGTAGTTAAAAACTTCAAAGTGGAAGCAGATCCCTTGGAACCTGTTAACTATGATTTTAGAAACCTATTTAATGGACAGAAAGATCTAGGTAAGAATAGTACAAAAGAGGTAATATAATATTATTATCTCACTAAAAACATTCTGTTAAAAAAACTAGCCAGGTCTCGACGGAGCCGCTCGTTCATCTCTAAAAATTAATGAAATCTAGACCTAGTCGTGTCAAGTTGAAGGTCCCAATCAAGTTGCGATTTCCTTATATATTATTATAGTTTATGTTGTATGACTTGGCCGTTCAACCACTATTCATTGAAGATGGATAATTGCCACTAAAAAAAGTTGATTGAATAAACAGCAGTTCTGGCGACAGATTGGTGCAATGGTGTCTTGCACCATTTCACTCATAAGCTAGTTGCAAATGTATAGATGATCATAATAGTATCTATTTTATCAATCTTTTATCAAGCATACATTTCATAAGTTTTTTTTTTATTTCTATTTATTTATTTAGGGGTTTTTATCCACATGGATATGCCAACCCTATCGTACCCTCTTGGTTTTATTTACACTATAAGGTAGTGTAAATAAAACCAAGAGAGTAATAATATAAATAATTAAACATTTCATAAGTGCAAGCAAAGGTGTGGGAGAGCCATGCTTCGGCAGGAATGGCCCGGCTCGGCTTCTTTAATCTTGTCAAAAACAATTTTTTACACCCGAGGTCGAACTTTGACTCCTTAAAGCACGATCACAATACAGTTACAATTTAACTTTGAAATTGAAATTCCATCTATCAAATCTCGTTAGTATCTTCGCATTTTACGATACCGTTAACCCTTTCTCAGTCCAGCGCTCACATAGAGTTCACTACAGTCATCTGACTTAATGTGTCTGCTTCAAGAGCAGTTACAATCTAGGGCTTGATTTATTTTACGACTGTAATGTTATAGATTCTATTCAAAATGACTATTCCATTTCCAATATTACACAAAGTTGCTGAGTTAGATAGCTGAATTTGTTTTATGCTAAAATTTTGAATTCACATGTTCTTACATGCCAATTCATTCTTATGAACGTTGTTTGATATTATAAAATTGATTAAAATATTAACGTAGAATTGGTCAGGTTGACAAACTGCCGTTTCTATCAGAAATAAAAAGAAAAAAAGAACCAATGGTACTAATTCTTTCGTCACTAAAGCTTTTCATCTCTTTCACATGGGATATTTGTAAAAAATTTTCATTCTTGTCTGAACATGAAAATGTTGTTATGCTTGTACCGTTCCGTTCATCTGTCAAACTGATTGCTTGTAAATCATAAAAAAACATTTCTGTTTACAAATTATCCACTTGTATTTATCACTTAATCTTAATAAAAAATCTGATGGGAAAGAGCTCTTTTCCATCGTCTAGGGAAAATAAAGGAAGCTATCAGATTCCTACGTACTACATAGTTACTACCTCGATGTCTTACACATGAGCATACGAATACGTGACTACACACATAGTCTCTACTGATCTAAACATTACCTAATCGATTTATCCGAAAAATATACCTATCCTACTTTCGCATATCAAAATAACATTACAATTTTTAAACTTTTTGCTTCCAGCCGACACCGTTCTGAAGTTCGCAAATGAAAACTGGAGGGAAGTCGCTCATGAAGTACAGATTCCAGTCTTTATGGCAAATATAAAGAAAATGATTAAAAACGCTAACAAGTATTTGAAGACTGTGCCCATGGACGAATACACGCCACAGTGATATCATTTTATAAACATGCGTTTGGAAAAATATGTGAAACAACTTATGGCAAAGTGACCAAAGGACCTGTAAATTAATATTTTCATCATATATTAAGTATTATAATGTTAATTACATAATAAAGTGGCTACAAAGATATTCAACACTTCTTCAATTTACTATATTTTCAACCATTTCGAAATTATCTTACACATTGCTTTGGTTTAAGTTATAATGTCAATCTCATTCATTGACTGTATAATATAGAAAAGTACCTCTATAAATCCCCAGATAGAGTTACGTGGTGCAGTTTCGATACTTTACTTACTTCGTTTTTTTCATTTTATATTATTAAATGAGGATTTAAACATAACATAACATCACGCCTTTTATCCTCGAAGGGGTAGGCAGAGGTGCACATTACGGCACCCTAATGCCACTTTACAATACTAATATATAGGTACTACCAATAAAATGACGTATAAAAAGAATTATCAACATATAGATGAATGGCATGTGTAAAATGGCACAAAAAAAGCCGTATGCAACATCTAAAATTAAAACCTGAATCTTTATTAAATTTATTACATTGAAATACCTCATTTTAATTTATTGTTTTTCGAAGATTGTAACTTTAAAATGACCTTAGAAATCTATTATTAACTATACCAAAGTAATGCAATTAACATTATGAAAATACTATTTTTTGTTGGTTATATAATTATCAGATAGATGATATAATAAAAAGTAGTCACACTTGTAGTTCTGCTTGTGGACTACATGTATAATTATAAATAATTAGTTACGAAAAACGAAAAAAAAAGTGCTCCAAAATGTGATCTAAAAATCTGGTTAAGTGGTTCTGCCCCATTTAAAAACCTGCTCAGTGCTCCAAATTAAATATATAACATCACATAACATCACGCCTTTTATCCCCGAAGGGGTAGGCAGAGGTGCACATGATGCCACTGTACAATGTAAACCCACTTTTCACTATTTATGTCATGAGTCTCATATAATACCCCTATTAAGTCAGCCTATTGCCATAATTATACCGGGCACAATGCCAGACTTCGTGCTACTACTGAGAATTTTTTAAAAACCCAGTAATACAAACTTTGCCTGACCCTGGAATCGAACCCGAGATCCCTTGCCCGGCAGTCGCACTTGCGACCAATCGGCCAACAAGGCAGTCAAATATATAAATCAAACTAAATATTTTATTAGAATCTAAAATATATTTGAAACTGATCATCGATTTTTTAAAGTTGTAGATAATTTTACTCCATCAATTAAATTTTATTAATTTATAATTATAAAAGTCTCATATATATTTAGAGGTAGATGTTTCTAGCTATATATATGTTTCGAAGTTAAAGTTTAGCTGAAGTTTTATGCATTTTATGGTGAATATAATGAATTCTGGAGTAAAAAACATTTCGACCGAGAGTTCTCTTACATATATAAGGTATATTAATTATATAACAGCCGTTTTCACCATATACGCCCAGTAGTTTGACTTTTCCGATCAACTTACTAAATTGCTTCCTTAGTCTTCTTTCCTCACGTATATTGTATACTATATACTATATATCCAATCGCAATAATATCATCTAAATGATCATGAGAATTTCAATACATATTGCCGGCTTTTCGATGATTGGGGAATTCGGTACCCTCACTCATACGACAAATGAAAACGCAACCGTTGTTTCACGTTCATCATCTGTGCGACCGTAGTAACACAGAAGTAGTAACAAAGAAATTGTCGTGGTGGCCCAGAGGTTTAAGACGCCCACTTCTCATGTATGAGGGTGCGGGTTCGAAACCTACCAACGGCAAGTACCAATGTGACTTTTTCCGAGTTATATGTACTTTCTAAGATCATTTAGACACCACTGACAAACGGTGAAGGAAAAACATCGTCAGGAAACCTGGACTTATAATTTCTAATTATAAGTTTGAAATCGCCAACCCGCACTGAGCAAGCGTGGTGATTAATGCTCTAACCTTCTCCGTGTGACAAGAGGCTTTGCTCAGCAGTGGGCAATTTATATGATGAACAAAGAAACAGCTCTATGGGAATAGAGGCGTTTCTTTGCCCCATGATTTTACCACATTTTGTCTTTGCATTAATCCAGGGTCAGTTCGGAGGAAGCATTTTACATATTTTATTTTTGATGTTTGGTATTTTTCCTGACATTTGCAATTATATTTGAAAGAAACATGCGGAACAAGACTCGTCATGGACTTGGGCAAGGCTAGTTTATTCTTTTTTTGTTAAATACTTTAAATAACACATAACTACATATAACTATAGAATATATACAAAGTAATGACGTTTAATGAAAATAACAATATGATTAGTTTGTTTTTATTTCTAGATTTAATTTTGACCCCAGTTTTTCCTGTTTTTGTCGTATAATTTTAAATTCGTGGAAGATGTTGGTCTCCCAAGAAATAGGTTGTAAAACGCGCATGTGGGTTTTCTATTCGTCCATTCAAATGAATAGGTACTATTGAATTACTAATTTTGCACAACTTTTGTCCATGAATTTACTTGTCAACATTGACTGCACGGTTGGTGCGGTGGCTAGGCAACCAGCCTGCGTGCAACGTGTCGCGGGTTCGATTCCCACACGAAACAACACTTTGTATGATCCACAAAATGTTGTTTTGGGTCAGGGTGTCATTGTGTATGTGTACTTGTATATTTGTAAACGCACCCACGTCACAGGAGAAAATCCTAAAGTGGGGCAACGTTTTGTTAAAAAAAATAACATTGATTTTGTCAATAAATGCAAAATTATGATATAGGAGATAATATATGTTCCTCATTTTTGAAGACTTTAGGAAATTTAATGCAATAATTTTGATTGCATAAATTGCACGTTTGTCGCAGTGGTTGAGGGATAGGTTGCTGACGTCGTGCAGCATGTCACGACCCAAAAACTATTTGTGTAATCCAAAAAATTTCGGATCTTACCGAATTTTGAAGTGAAATTTGTGTTTGTAAACGCACAAAACCCAATGTAGGGCAACGTTTAAAAATACCTTGAAAGATAACAGACAAACAAACATCACTATTACAATACATGTAGGTGCCTATGTCATGTACAAAAAACATAGGTAGGTAACTAATAAAGCATAACTGACCTTTATTTTTCCGCTTGACATCGTAAAATGACGACAACCTTTTTTATATACAAACGCAGCCATTTTTTTTAAATATAATAAATATCATTAAATAACAAATTATAGTAGCTAAGAGCTACATTAAAACAAAATAACGAAGATATGTATCTTGTGTTTTCTTTGTATAACATTTATGTTACAAGATTTTATTAATTGTACATCTTCTTAATTTATTTTGAAGGTTCTGTAGTTTTTTTTTTTTTAAGGGGGGAAAATCATCGAATGACTGCTCCCGCCTGGGTGAGGCGGAAGGGAGTGTCAGACTCTTACTGACTAAAAACCACCCCGTTCCTTCTCCTGCACGTCGAGCCGGAGCCCCGGTTACCCGTTAGGTTCTCCGCGACTCCGAATCAGCATCGGCCTATTGGTTCTGTAGTTAAAATTTTTATGCGAGATTTATTTAATTAAATTCGTTTTTTTAATCGTTTCCCTACATATTCTCTCCTGTGTCGTGGGTGCGTTTACACGTTTACATACACATGATACCCAGACCTGGTACAACAATCGATGGATCACACAAAGAGTTGCTCCGTGCGGGAATCGAACCCGTGATACATTTCGTGGCAGCCAGTTGGCCAGCCACCGCACCAACCGTGCAGTCACACAGTATTGTATATAATGGTTAACTCACGTAACTGTTTGACGAGATAAGTCGACCAATTTCAAGCCACGCTAAGAGCTTATACATATTAGAACGTTGCGCAGATAACACAATTAATTAATTTAAAATTTCTCACGAAAGTAACATTTTGGCAATTTTAACCTACGCTTTTAGCTATTTGAGATACAGGCTGTACTTAATTTAGAGTTTATGACTTTCTTTGTTTGCCATCGTGTTTGTAGTCATATTTTTCGCCATACAAATGTATGTAATGGTACTGGTTTGCCCAAATAAATAAATAATTAAATTCATTTTAAAATATGTAATATATATATATCACTAACAGTACCTCTATATAACTGGCCACTGCTGTCCAAGCCTCTTCTCGCACGATGAAGGTATAAAAAAATTATATTAAAAGTTATAAAAATCACTCAATATATAGGCCCAACTATAAAGTAATATTGCAAAAAATATTTTTTTATAATAATACCTATTTTTTCCCTGCTAGGTAAAGTATCTTGATTAATGATTGATCAACGCCCTTGCACATGTTGGATTGATTGAAAAGATGCTTATACATATTATATTTATATTTTTCACAACAACCGCGTTATATAAGTACAAATTACTACTGTCAATAAGAAATTTATCGTTGCAAATGCAAGAAATTGTAACACAATTTTACATGGCCTACATATAATGAATTCAGAAAAGATAATGCCTATTTTAAAATGATTATCACGTTTTTGATTATTTTGTCTGACAGAATCATAGTCCAATGCTTTTATATTACAAATTTTTTTGTGTCACACATTGTTACGCATGTATATAATAATTAATACTAGATAAAAGTTAATTTCAAATAAAAACAACTCGTCGAGTACCGGTTTTATAGACACAATTAAAGAACAATAGGTCGCGGTCACCGGTGACCGCTTGGTGTTTGACAGTTTAAAATGTCCAAGATTCATATTATTTTAATTCCATCAGAACCCTTCTGTGAAACTCAAAATAGAATATCACGTACGTTAACCGCATACGTATAATTTTATCGTAGTCTAAAGAAATGACGACGATAAAAAAAAACAGTTAAAAAAATTAACACGTGACAGACAGGCCGCAGGATATTTAACGTTAATTCGTGTATATTGTTTTTATCTAGTTTTTTGCGATAGACTTATAAACATATTTTTTAATAATGTAATTAAGCCAGTTATATAATCAGGATACCAGACGAGCGTAGCTGCAGTTACACTTAACATTTGTCTCAAAAACGTCTATATGTACGTATCTCTATTACGAACTTGATTTAGGTATCTTTGTATATATAAAAGAGGACATTTCTTGTCCAAGGAAAATAAGTTTTTGATCCTATTGCGGTCAGTCGTGTCTTGAAGTGGATCTAGTATAAATTAATTATAATGTACAGCAAAATTTGTATTTTATTATTCATATCGTACACTTGTCTAGTGACCGCGGACTCAGGTATTTATATTTTATTTTTTCTTTGTGTCGTTTTATTGTAATTGAAGTATTTTTTCATATTGGTTTAATTAAATTTGACATAAATGCTATTCTCATCACATAATGACATTATAAAATATATTTTATCAAAATACCTATATATTTTTATGCATAATGTACATATATATTTATTTTTCATCTGGATTTCCAGTGTCGTTCATCAAAAAATGTAAATGGGACGATGGTAAATGTGCTAAGGAATCAGGTCAAAATGTAATACAGAAGTTTGCTGCTGGTATATCAGAATATAATGTCGGGGTATCTGATCCTCTTCACATCGAATATGTAGACGCTAGTTCACCAAACATGAAACTGATTGTCACCGATGTTGTGGTCACCGGACTGAGGAACTGTGAGGTCAAGAAGATTCAGTAAGTAGCTCTCTTTTGTTTTTTCATACCATATTCTTCAGATATATATTCAAGCACACCCGAGCAGTGTTGTCAGCTTCTGTTCATCTTTAGGTAACCAAGAAGAGTTCATTTAATTATTCATTGTATTAGACTCTTTTTTTATTTTTCTAATATCGAGAAGTGTTTTTATTTGCACTGATGAAGTTTAAATAATAAGTTGCTTGTAACTGACATTTTTAAATCAAAACCTAGGAGTGGTGAAAAAATACACCAGTGGAGTAACTTCATCATTTTATTTTTATAATCTGAACCAGCCTTATTGAGCTATTTGTAATGCTGTCGAGCATTAAATCCTTAGAATATTCTAGTATAATTTAATCAATACAACCCAGATTTAAGCCCCATAAATGGCAAACTATTGACTTATCTAGTAATTATTTCAACTAAGATCTAGTCATTTAACAGTTCTATACAACATGCTCAAAAATTTTTATAATGATTGAGTTGATGAATTTAGTTTTTGATCATCGACAGATAGAAGATATTCAGTGCTACACAAAGGCCCCCACTTTAAGGCTGTCACAGACCAAGCTATAATGCATATTATATCCAACTATATATTATAGTATAGCTAGCTACCAGTGACAGAATATATACTATAATATAAATTTTTGGTCGTTTTTGGTCTATAATATAATATACCAAAATATTGTAACTTGGATATATCTTTGTGACGTCGCGTCGTAGAAATATATACTATAGCGGCGTGAGTGGTCAATCAAAAATTTCTATTGAAAATATTTGATAATATGCCTGGCTTGTTGTTATATTTTATAGCTAGGTCTGTGACGGCTTTTAATGTGTGAAGGAACCATAAGCCCATTTCTGATAGACTTTTGAAGTGACTTAGGAATAGATAGCAACTGTTCCAAATTTCCATTGACCTAAGTGTATAAAATTGCCGCGGGTTACTGGGGCTCCGGCTCAAAGTGCAGGAGTAGGAACGGGGTGGTTTTTAGTCAGTGAGAGTCTGACACTCCCTCCCGCTTCACCCAGGTGGTAAAAGTCATTCGATGATGATGATGATGATGGTGGTCAAACGTCGACCTATAAAGTGTAAAAAAAATGATTTGCACCCCTTAAAAAAAGTGTATAAAATTAAATGCAGTTTTACTATGATACATATTCGAGCCGAATCGACCATTCTTGTGTATGTTCCTACAATAATATTGGACGTAATTTATTTCAAAACAGGTTCTTTTTGCGTCAATGTTTTATAAAACATTTTTGTTTGACGACAAACCAGCCGACGACAGTCGAAACTTGAATTGAATTTATGGAATATTTCAAACCTGTTTTGGTTGAACTTAAAAAACAGGCAACAAAAAAGAAAGATCAACTAGGTACTTTTATATACCCATTACCGGATTTTTTTTTCATTCTAATCAGACCCATGATTGATTAAAATACCTATTCTGCAATTTTGATTTTTTTTTAGGTAACAAATGAGCCATAAAACCTAGCTTTATTTTTTTATTAGCAGGACAAAGGTAGATACCCAGACTACAATAGAAATAGCTTATTTTTTTCATCCGCATTTGTTATTAAAAATACAAATATTATTTATTTCGTCAATGTAGTTATGTTACAATAGATGGTAGATAATATTATGGTAATCGTCAGGTTTATGATATTTTCCTTTCATTTATCAGTGTTGATAAATATTCAAGCTAAGTTTTGGAATCGAAGACAAAAATACATATCCTACACAAAATATATTAGCAATACCTAAACAGAAAATAAACAAAAGTTAGATTTACATTGCATTGCATTGTTCAAATGCATGTTGCACTGTGAATAGAAATTGATAATAATATAGTTTTGACATAATTTTTCGAATGTTAGTGTCAATCCCATACATTTGATTCATCTATTTAGCTGCTGGATTAACATTAAAATGTAAATCAATTCACCAAAAACTTTAGCGATATTAGGTAAAATTCAAGCTAAAAGCAAAAATATTTCACTAGGATACCAATTACTACTTAAATGTATACCAAAATAAATATAAGTACTAAATTATTTTTGCAGTTTATAAAAAAATATGTCTAGCCATTTTCGAAATAAAGATAACAAGATTTGGCCTTATGCATAAAGATTTATGAAAATTCCAAATCGACAAAACCTGTACCAGGAAGCTGATTAAAAAAAATCAACTATAAAATAGACAGACAGATCTTGCATCTAATTTTTTGTCGATGATATTTCTAGGAATCTAAGAAACAGGTATTTTAATTACTGGTATTCATATTCTTATTACTATCATGAGGATGATTTTCTATCATTATCTCTAAGACCTAGACAGGCCAATTATGTATATCGTTCGATATGTAGGCTACAAGCCATTATATGTAATTGTGTAGTTCTCGTTAAGTTTATTATTATACACATTTTCCTTCTGCGAAGTTAATCTTTCATTTCTAGTTGATAAATAGACTCTAAACATTTTCTATTAAAACGTATAATCGTATAATCTCTTAGAAGAACCCGGAAAACTTGATTGAATTGCTAAGTTTAGCAATTAACTGTGTTATATATTGGGGTTTTATTTACATTTTAACCGACTTTCAATGTGTTTAAAAACTTTTTACGAAAAATATTTCATAACATCATAACATAGCTTTACGCCTTTCTGTCCCCGAAAGGGTAGGCATTTTTTAAGGGGGGATAATCATCGAATGATTTCTCCCGCCTGGGTGAGGCGGGAGGGAGCGTCAAACTCTTACTGACTAACAATCACCCTGTTTCTACTCCTGTACTTCGAGCCGGAGCCCCGGTAACCCGTTAAGTTCTCCGCGGCTCCGTAAGGGGTAGCATACGTGCACATTACGGCACTTGATGCCACTGTACAATGTAACACCCACTTTTCACTATTTATGTTATGAGCCCTATGTAATAGAGGGTAAGCCTATTGGCATATACCGAGCATAGTTCCAGACTCCGTGCTACTACTGAGATTTTTAGAGCACACGCGACCATTCGGCCACCAAAAATATATCAATTCATTTATTTTTGTCACTTCTCGCACTCAGTAACTTTGTAATCAAGTAGTAAACAAATGAACTTTGTATTATGACGCCAGAGTTCACAAAAGTCACACAAAAAATAATAATCCTATGACACATTCTAATGAATTATCTCTAGTTGCTACCTCAAACACGTTTGGCAAGGCAATAAAAAAGTAAACTTCTATAAAAAAAATAAAATGTTAACATGTTTATACTAATCTGAATATTTAATTGTGTAGTTTTTCAAAAAAGTGGTATTAAATTTTTTTTTGTGGCTGGTTTATGACATGAAACTTTTTTACAAAAAAGGTTTCATAAGAATATTTCGAAAAAAATATAAAATTATTATGACCGGTAAGTTTGACATGGCATAGTAGCCATATATACCTATGGTCTAATTTTGCTAATTATTGATGAATATTATCATTATACATTACGTGTAATATATCCCTAAATGAAACACATATTAATTTTTATTATATCGCATAAGGCACCATATACTCCAAAGCGAACGACATCTCCAATAACTCTTCTTTGTACCGCACAGTCAAATATAAAAAAACACCCTTTCCACCTTCCAAAATCATACACATACTTCTAAAAACATTCCCCACTCCATACATACATAAATTGGAACTAATACAAAAAACCATCGGAAACTTAGTCACACCAGTCATAATCTTTGCCTAGGTCGAAACCACATCTAGGCAATATCAAGGCCTGTTTAACCAGTTGAATACCACCATTGCAAACGCATACTTATTTATACGTAACTAAGATGGTTCGATAGGTCAAGGCTGACAAGACACGTGTAATAAATAAAATCCATTATACTTTTATAGGAATTAGTATAAATTTTATGTGACTTTTATAGTACATGTAATTGTTTTCAGCTTCCTAATCATAACAAATGACTTGTTGTTTTTCCTTAAAATATTGATGGATATTCATAGCAAATTGCAGTCTAATATTGCATAATAGCTAATAGGTATTATTTATAGCTTAAAGATTTTTACGTAATCTTTTTCTATTGTTTGCCTTTATTGTTGGATTAGTATTAACTGTTTAGCATATTTTTCTAGAATTTTTCCTGTGTTTTGAATGACTACCAACCTACCCATGACTTTCATTCAATGTTAAGGTTATGAATTGTTATCTCTTCAAAGTCCAATCGATATAATCTGAACAGTAGTTAACCAAATAAATATGATGATTTTAACTTGAACTTACTGATTTGTTTAATGTGTCAACATTGCATTGTTCCAGAATCGTCCTTTACTGATACTTTCTATATTACATAAATACTTAACTGATCTGAAATACAAAATTTTCTTCCATATTCTAAATTCCTGTCTTCATTTTTTATCTGACATCCATCGCCATTTTTGTGAAGATTGTCGTCACAATTAACAAACAGAAATAATTTGTCACAATAGGATAGTTTCCAGGGTAAGAAAATTCAAAATCTAATTAGTCCGTCAGTTAGATAATGAAAATATATTAGACACGTATTTTTTTTATTTTCTCGTATAAAGTTACAATACTTAAATAAAATGGCGTTAATTTTAGGAGTGGGAGGTCGTTACGTCATGACGTGGTACATTTTGTATCACGCTGTGACGTCACACGACATTTCAAATCAATATATCGTCAAAAGCAAGAACAGTAAAAATACGTGTCTAATGTTTTAAAATAACCTACCAGACGGGCATTAAAATAAAATTTAGGAAACTATCCTATAGTCCATAGTTCTCTATTAAGACGTTAGTAGGTAATGGAGGTCCCTTGAATTATCTGTAAATGCTAGCTGGTTACTAAGAAGGCTATTTGCTTGAATTATGTGACACGATAAGCCTAATAATAATACCGAAAGAGTTCACTAGCCCGTAAACGACGGTTTGAGGACATGAATAATATTACAATAATGTTATGGAAATCTCTTAGTGTTTATACTGTTTGTACTACTTTTTTATTTAACTGTTATTATGTATTTACATTTTTATGAATTTTATTATGATAGAACAATAGACACTTGGACGGAAACAAGGTGTAAGATACAATCAGTGCAAAAACGTCTACCTCACAGGTCGAGTTTTCTAAAGTGAAACTGTGAAGCAAGTAAGCAAGGGAAACCCCTCGTATTCTTGAACCGGGAAAAATAAAATAAAAATAATTCTTATTATTGTGTTTTTGAATATTCAAGAATATTTAGTAATACTACACAGTCTGGAATTGTATCTACCCATTACACGGGACCATACTTATTCTTGAAAAATGTCGTGGTGGCCCGGAGGTTTAAGACGCCCACTTCTCATGCATGAGGGTGCGGGTTCGAAACCTACCAACGGCAAGTACCAATGTGACTTTTTCCGAGTTATATGTACTTTCTAAGATTATTTAGACACCACTGACAAACGGTGAAGGAAAAACATCGTGAGGAAACCTGGACTTATAATTTCTAATTATAAGTTTGAAATCGCCAACCCGCATTGAGCAAGCGTGGTGATTAATGCTCTAACCTTCTCCGTGTGAGAAGAGGCTTTGCTCAGCAGTGGGCATTTATAGGCTGTTGATGATACTTATTCTTAATGACACAATTGAGAAGTGGAAATATTTTTATTTCGTTTAACAAGTTTGGCTCCAGGTAAATTCGGAGATCTTAATAACAGTATATTTCTTCAATATGTTTAACATATGACTCATCTGTATAACTTATGTCCGCAGTGTCCGACATGATACAGCAAAAATATTCATATTTTTTGTCATGTAGTAAGAAGTAAGAACAAGAAACAAGTTTGTTTTAATGTTACTTATTTTATCGCAAACATTGTAACTATTATAAATAATTATGTCTATTTAGATAATTACCCAATTACACAATGTTTATTATGCATGGTATAATTTTAAGGCAAGAGTTCGTATTTACGATACAAGTAGCTATTAAAAGAGTACTAAGTAATGGGAGCGTGTCTCAAATGATGGAGACTATTCCAAAGCGTCACTAATAACTAAAAAATAGTCACGAAAATAAAAGGTCCTTTGATAAATCCCGGCTAAATCAAAGAACCTTAATCAGTAGTGGCACATCTAACAACTTGATATTTTTTATACCACGACGATGGCAAAATGAACACATGGCCCATCTGACAGTAAGCGGTTACCGTGGCCTATGAACGCTTGCAACACTTTTTTTTAAGGGGGGAAAATCATCGAATGACTGCTCCCGCCTGGGTGAGGCGGAAGGGAGTGTCAGACTCTTACTGACTAAAAACCACCCCGTTCCTACTCCTGCACGTCGAGCCGGAGCCCCTGTTACCCGTTAGGTTCTCCGCGACAATGTCATATGTCTAAGATGACTCGGCAAATGCTTTAAGAAATACTTGTTTAATTCATGTTTGATTTAGCGATATTCTTATAATGTGTACGTGTGTTATGTAATAAAAGACAAAATATAAATGCTTTATCTCTATCATTACAGGAGATTCGAAGATAGCTCAAAGTTGATCGTCAAACTCCTGTGCGCTGCTGAATTGAATGGAAAATATGACATGAAAGGACAGCTCTTTGTTATTCCCATTGAAGGCAACGGTGGTCTATATTCTAAAGTCCGTAAGTATATTTTTTAGTAGTTTAATAAATTATGTATTTTGGTTTTAAGTAAGGTGTACCAAACAAACGATTTTACCTATTAGAAATAGCCATTGTTACACCCATTACTTCTTCCACTATAGAAATATTCGGATATGAAATCTTACTAATATAACATAACATCACGCCTTTTATCCCTCAGGGGGTAGGCAGAGGTGAACATTACGGCACTTAATGCAATTGTACAATGTAACACCCACTTTTCACTATTTATGTTATGAGTCCCATGTAATAGGGGGTGAGCCTATTGCCATATACCGGGCACATTTCCAAACTCCGTGTCAACTACTGAGAATTTCTTAAAAAGACCCAGTAATACTTTGCACTATATATACACTTGCGACTACTCGGCCAACAAGGCATACATAAATTATTGTTTGGAATAACACATAGGCTCCTTTATCCTATGGAAACGAGGGTAACGCCGCTGGCAAACGCTAGTATCTTTATATTTCAATTAAATTCAATGGCTAGTTAACATACGTATTAAGTTCTTATTTAAAAACTACTTTTTGCATGTCATTCCGTTCGTTTTGAATTATAAGTGTAAAGCTTCCGCAATGTCGGGAGAGGTCACTCAATAACTAAAATAGAATTCAAAATCGAAACAACGACTTTAATAATGTAAATAATTTTAGAATAATTTTAATTAATCGTCAGTTGAGTTAAAAACTAAAAGGTATTAATTTAGATGGCACGAAGTTATAAGTCCCCTTATGCTTACTATTATTTCTAACAATTTACAATTACATTTTGCTGCCTCGTTGACCGAGTTATCGCAAGTGCGACTGCCGGGCAAAGGGACTCGGGTTCGATTCCCAGGTCGGACATAATATTACTGGGTTTAAAAAAAATCTCAGCCCGAAGTCTGGAATTGTGTCCGGTATATGGCAATAGTCTCACTCCCTATAAGAGGGACTCATAACATAAATAGTGAAAAGTAGATGTTACACTGTACTACAGTGGCATCAAGTGACGTAATCCCCTCTGCCTATCCATCCGGGGATAAAAGGCATGATGTTATGTTATAATTATTTATATTATCTTCAAAAACCGACAAAACTCAAGACGAAGTAGTAATTTTATTGTTCATAAATATTTTATCTAAGATAACTTAGGTACAATCTTCACAAGACTGAGAAGGAATAGCGTTCCGAATCTCATGAAGCGATTTATCAATGAATAGAGAGAGTGATCATTGGACAAATGATCACTCACTCTGCCTAAAGCAATATAATTGTACAGATCGGAGATGGCTCAGACAATGAAACAGCTAAATATCTATGACAGATCGCTGTGTGACGCAGGATAAAAAAAAATCTAAGATAACCAACTAATTATAAATTCATAAAATTTCAGCCAAGATTCAAATCAACGCAGAAGTAGATTTAAATACCAAGCAAGGCAAAGACGGCAAGGACCATTGGATTGTGAAGTCATGGCGGCACACATTTGAGCTGAAGGACAAATCTACGGTCAAATTCGAAAACTTGTTCCCTGATAACGAATTTTTGAGTAAGTATCCACTAATTACTAACACAGGATTAAGGAATGTAAAAATAAAAATCTATTCAGTCCATCAGTCAGGTAGTGACAAAAATATTAGACACGTATTTTTTATTTTATCGTATAGCAAAATAATGCTTAGATGAAACGAATCAAATTTTAGGAATGGGAGCTAGCTACGTCATTTCTACGTATAAATCGTTTTCTATAAGGGACGCTATGCGACATTTCAAATCGGCGAAAGTATTTGTTTCAGCAAGAAAATAAAAATGTATACATGTATTTTAAAATATTTTACAAGACAAACATTCAAATAAAAATATGTCGTCTACCCTGTAATGCTCAATAGTATGTAAATGCTACGACACTTAGTTATGTACCTCTAAATATGTACGGTCAAAGGTCAAACGTCCACTGCCACCGTGAGTGATGTTCACACGGCAATACGTAAGTAATTTCATATTAATGTGCATAAAAACGCGTGCGTACGCACACGGATAAAAATATGCGTGTGTATAAGCGCTGCAGCGCAACCGATAGTAGTCTTACGGTGGCAGTGGACTTTTGACCTTTGACCGTACATTCAATAATACCACACATAATAATCACATAGTGGTCAAACGTCGGCGCATCAAATATATAATTATATAAAAAAAATATTTGGGTATCTTGTATATGGGTATATTCGGCTCTACGTGCCGGTCGGTAACCAACTGATTCAACAGATGATCCCGCGCACTATTTATTAGCAACGTAATATGACAGGTGACGGTATTGTAGAATATACGAATACCCGCATACACTACGTTACTTATTAAGTACTATAAATTATGATAGCGCGGTAAACGTGAAGGGGGATCACCTAATGGTAAGCTTTCGGCGCTGCCCATGGACATTCATAATACGAAAGGAGTTATGAGTACGTTGCCTACCTTATAGGGCTTTTAATGTGTATGAACTGGAATCACAATCAAATACAAAAATAATGATGAAACAAGTAATTGATAGTCTAATTTCAGAATAGAATAAATGATATAATATTTTTAAATTTACAAGATATTCAGCACAGAGCTGGAACGATGCCGGTATATGGCAATAGACGTTTTCTATATTACATACTCGTAAACACAGAGATACATCGATATTGTATTTAATAGCGCAGATTTGCAATATTGTGACATATTCAACACGAAATGTAAGAAATTAATCCAGAGTCTGAAAAAATTAAAATAATAGTCTGGAGAGAATTATCCTCTTTATTTACATTAATAAGAAACTTAATTGACATTAATATGATACTATTTACAACTTAAAATACACAAACATTTTAACAAACGCAGAGCAAAAATTCGTCGGCATAGATGTCAATAGAAAATTATTAAAAATAAATGTAATAATAAAAGATTATCATGGTGTTCTAATTCCATTTTTCTACATTCCAGGAACATCCACCAACGAACTGATTGCTCAGAACGGTAATGATGTGATCATCGAAATTGGAGCTAATCTCATCAAAGCTATAGTCGGTAAAGTTGTAGAGAACATCAAGAAATTCTTCATCGCAGTACCAATAGAAGATCTTTCGCTTTAAATGAATGCTGATGCCAATTATAGTACAAATGCACTTGACAAAATTTTAACACACAAACACTTAAATAAATTTGATTGTTTTTATGACTAGACCTTTTATTTAATTAACAAAACATCATGCCTTTTATCCCCAAAGGGGTAACAGAGGCGCACAATGTAACACCAACTTTTCACTATCTATTTATGTTATAAATCCCATGTAATTAGAGGTAAGCCTATTACCATATGCTGGGCACAATTCCAAACTCCATGCTACTACTGAGATTTTTTTTAAACCCATTGACCACTCGGCCAACGAGGCAGTCATATTTAATAAAATAACTGCTCAATTGGTATTGTCAGCAAGCTAATCTGATTACTGCTAAATCCTGAGATCCTCAGACAGGCAACAAGTTATTATAAACACGGTATTTTGCCTACAAAAGTGGCCGAAAGGTTTTTCTCATAAAAAAAGGTTCTTTTTGGTAAACTGAATCAATGTAATCCTTTAAAATCTTTGGTAGAATGAAAATCTTTTTAAGCTACGTACCATGTTGTACCATTTACATTTCCTTATTCAATTAATTTTTCAGAAATAGTACTTTTTACGGGAGAAAATCATCCAATGATTTCTCTCGCCTGGGTGAAGCGAGAGCGAGTGTCAGACTCTTACTGACTAAAAACCACCCCGTTCCTACTCCTGCACTTCGAGCCGTAGCCCGACCACAGAACATTATCTTTATATGACCACACCACATAACATATATTTAGGTGATTATATATTTAGGAATATATTTAGGTGACTACAGAACATATAAAGATAATGTTCTGTGGTCACCACATTTCATAGTGCAATTAACTAGATTTAATACCGTTGTCTAATTAATTGTAATTATTGGGGATTTTAAGGTGAAACTCATTTTATACTCAGGAGCTATATATAGTCAGTGCAGTGTTAAACATAACATAACATCACGCCTTTTATCCCCGAAGGGGTGGGCAGAGGTGCACATTACGGCACTTATTGCCACTGTATAATATAACACCCACTTTTTACTATTTATGTTATGAGTCCCATGTAATAGGGAGTGAGCCATTTGCCATATACCGGGCACAATTCCAGACTGCGTGCTACTACTAGATTAAAAATAACTGTATAACTTTTCTCAACCCAGGAATCTTTGCATGTCACAATATAATAATACCTAATATATTTTTGTTTATTTGGAAACTCAACAGCTTATTATTATAGTTACATGAGTTGGGAATACACATCACACTATCAATGTACAGCCTTATGCAGTTTCATGAAAGAAAGAATATATACAAGCTTATAATATAACGATATACTAATTTCACAACGTTTGAATGCCTAGAACAAATCTATTACACATTCGCATCACCGAAACTCCTGTAAGCTATTAGGATATACTGCTGAATGCAAATTGCTTCCCTTCGGCTCAATTTCGATTCTGAAAGTCTAGCTCTATGGACGTATGGAGGTAGGTCTGTGTTCAGCAGTCAAAGTCAAATTCAAAACATTTATTTCAATTAAACCATAGTTTGGTACTTTTGAAACCTCAACAAATACAAAATAAATAATAGTCTGTCAGTCAGTCCGTCAGTGAAGCTAGGTGAAGCTAGGTGCTCATTCCAAAATGTAGATTCGAATGGAGAAGAACGAGCAAGAAACTTCATTCTAACGAATGAAACTCTTTTTACAAAAGTATGTTCTAAAATGTCTCTGATACATATTCCAATACTGTAAAGTACAATGGACTTCTTGTGGTCGATATGATGACGATAATGGTAATAGGCATGAAACATACATAACATCACGCCTTTTATCCCGGAAGCGCGAAGGAGTAGGCAGAGGTGTACATTATGATGTTATGAGTCCCATACGCGAGAGCCTATTGCCATACACCGGGAACAATTCCAGACTTTGTGCTTCTACTAAGAATTTTTAAACTTTTCGACGCGATTTTTAGTTAGTCATGCGATTTGTCAATTTATTCAGATTAGATGATCATAGAATAATGTAGTGTAATAGACCTGGGTGCTTACTCTTGAATCCAATTCCGATCGATCGACATTGACATTGTGAAATTTTGTACTCTTGAGTTTCAACACTAGCGCCTATTGCATCCGTATTGCGTGGATATTTCATGAACTATATGGTATTGAGTTTGGTTTTATATTCCGTACTCTAAATGCTACTTTAGCAGCTACGATAGGGGTTGTTTAGTTTTGACATTGGATAATTATTGAGATTTTATTGGATTGAAATTGCATTGACATTGCGATTGGTTTCAAGAGTAAGCACCCTGATCTGATGATAGAATTGAAAGATGATTGATGGAACCTTGAGCTACCTATTAAGTAATATCGATTTTGGGCTTATTAGTTCTGTTGTAATTATGTAAATTTTATAATCTTAAGCATCATTAAATGTTACAAGTAACGCCATCTGGTGTGTGATTAAACCTATTGATTCAAAGCACAATAATAAATAATTTGACTTTGATTATGTCAATTTCTCATGATGAAGAAGATAGAATGACTAAAAGTGTGTTTTTATTTTTAAATTATTGTGATTTTATTATAATTATACATACATTCATAACATCACGCCTTTTATCCCCGAAGGGGCATTACATAGACTGCCTTATTGGCCGAGTGATCACAAGTGCGACTGCCGGGCTCGGGGTTAGGCTAAGGTAAGGTAACGGCTAAGAGGTCTCGGGTTCGATTCCCGGGTCAGGCAAAGTATTAATGTGTTATTCAAAAAAATCACAGTAGTAGCACGGAGTCTGGAATTATACCCGGTATATGGCAATAGGCTCACCCCCTATTACAAGGGACTCATAAAAAATAGTAAAAAGTGGGTGTTACATTGTACAATGGCATGAAGTACACCTCTGCTTATTATAATTATGTTCACCTTTATATTGCAATCTTTGATTTATTTATTTTTATGCAAGCAAAAAAAGACATTATTGCTTAAGTGATTAATTAACTCGTCGAGTACCGGTTTTATAGACACAATTAAAGAACAATAGGTCGCGGTCACCGGTGACCGCTCGGTGTTTGACAGATTAAGTGACTATATAGAGAAAAGAAAAATCTACCTACGATATCTTAATTTAATGCAAAAAATCAATACAAAAGAAACTAGTTTTACAAGTACAAAAAGAGTTCTTTTTAAAAGGATTATTATGTAACGTCAAAGAGGATTTGTGGCAATTTTAGACATTCGGACCTGTATCTAATTTTCAAGGTCACATTTTGAATATCTACTTCACAACAATAACAAGTACACCTGAGTGTACGGTGGGTCACATTCCGCTCTCGCCTCAACGACCCATCAGACCACCACAGATGGGGCCAAATAGGGCTGATGCGGATATGGTGCCGCGGAGGACTTAATGGGTTGCCGGGGCTCCGGCTGGAAGTACAATAGTAGGAACGGTCGTTTTTAGTCAGTAAGAGTTTGACACTGCTCCTACCTCACTGGGCGAGAGAAGTAATTGGATGACTTTCTCCCTAAAAAATAAAACAATAAGTATAAGGCTGTCTCTTTATTTAAGTACATTGCATTAGTATTAGGTACGATGGGGTTGGCGTATCCTCATGGATAACAACCCCGTATTAATTAAATGTAGAATAAAAAAAAAAGTACATTGCATGCGCCATTACTTAACACGTACTAGATCCGATTTTTGAGTCCAACAAGGGCAAAGTGTAAAATAAGTAAAAATTTTTGTTTGTAATCCGTACACTTTAGACTGATGTATATGTCGCGGAGAACCTAACGGGTTACCTGGGCTCCGGCTCGACGTGCAGGAGAAGAAACGGCATGGCTTTTAGTCAGTAAGAGTTTGACACTCCCTCCCGCCTCACTCAGGCGGGAGCAGTCATTCGATGATTTTCTCCCTTAAAAAAAAGGAGTGATGTATATCTAAGACTACACGTCCACTTTCCACAAGCAATAAGTGCATATCACGACACTGTTCGTTTAACTATATTTGAATGTATGTATTATTTGTCTACATATGTATGTTAACATGACACATGTATCTATCTATACAAGCTTATGTTTTATTTAAAAATTTGCAGTTTCTTTCATTACAGTGATGGTCATCAGGTGATAATCTTAACTAATTATAAATATACTAATAACTATATAATAATACTAATAACTAATTATATTAAAATATTCGCATGCAGGCTTGTTGGGTGCATTACTGATTTAAGAGCTTTTAATTTGTTAACGTTTTCCTGGAAATAAAATACCCTTATTCTAAAATGGACGACATTACATTCGCTAGGTGGACCGACGACATCGCCATAGTTGCGGGGAGCCAGTGGATGCGGGTGGCGGGTTGTCGTGCGACGTGGAGGACTAAGGAGGAGGCCTTTGCCAGCAGTGGACGTCTTCCGGCTGTTGATGATGATGATGATGATTCCAAAATACTTGATGTCACAAGTTCTTTTCCCATTCTCCTCTAAATGACGTCGCGTCGTTTTAAAAATCATCATGATCTAGAAACTTCTCCACTGCTACATCTATAAATCTTATGTTTTGGCAACCGGCTTAAGGGTTGGAGTAGGATATCACTGTACATCTTTCGAGTACTGCTGATCCATTTAGTTAGTCAATCAATCTTTACTTGAGCGCCAAATTAGAAGAAAATCTCTTCGTTTGTCTTTCACGTCGCAAAAGGGTGATATTATGATACATTTTTTTTGTCTGGAGATAGATAAGAGGCTCCAGAGTAGTGTAAGCTTCCTGTTTTAATTCTAACCGCTGACGTCAAGGCTATAAATAAAGACGTTTAAAAAATAGACAGGGGATTACTACTCATCCATAATCATATGTATGATTACATTCAATTCCTACCGATATGGAAGTGACCCTTTTAAATAATATCATTTCCTAACCTTCAACATAATATTTTTTATCAGTTTATATTTACGTAGTGGTTACCATGACAGTGTACTTACAAATATGTACAAAAAAGTAACCAAGGCAAAAACTACTCAATTATATTATCAAATCGTCTATAGCATCCTAAAACTTGTGTGGTGAGTTTGAACAAATTTTTAATTATGTATTCTCGTACCTTTTAAATAAGTTACACAATTCTTCGAATTGAGTTCGAAGGTTATCCGATACCTTTTTTGTATTCTGTAAGAGCAGAAAGAAATAAAAATGCACAAGTATATAATTATGGATCTCGTATATAAAGAAGTATTTGGTTTGCTAATTTAGTATTACTGATTGTTGATCATAGGTAGGATCATATTAAACACATTAAAATGGTGCCGTTATTACTTATAGTTGTAAGTGTTGCAGGATTGATTAACTTCTCAAATGCGGCGTCAGGTAATTGATTTTATAGATACTTTTTAGTCAATCAGTATAGCTTGTATTAATTTTATCATTTAAAATTTAAAACAATTCAAATAACGTTTTTAAATATTTAATTTAATGTAGATTTGTAATTATTATTACTTAAATTTCTTTAAATATTTAGATTTTTACAAATAAAATTAATTTTACATTGTTTAACAATCGATACATTTATTCTTTCTCTCTCAAATACAGTCCACTTCCGATGTTGTGTCAGTAATTATTTTTCTCTCGTCCAATTGTACAAATCAATATTAGTAATAATTACAATATTTTTGAAATAGGTATTTGTAAATAAAAAAATATGTTTTCGATAATAATGATTTTTCTAAAAGGACAATACCTATAATTTATTTATCTATGAAATCCTGTCTTTGTGCATGAAATAACTGACAAATGAAAACCAATTAATTATCCTGATTTCAGCTGATAATAATTTTCAAACAATTGTATATTTTTTCTATTGTAACTTTTTACCATCACCAAAGATATATACAAGCAAAAACGCACACAAGAAGCTAGTCTTTCTTAGCTAACCTTGACCTATTGAATAGTGAAGTCAAGGTCAAAGCTTGGTTGCATTAATATTATTCATAGCACTTTTGCAACGAATATAATTTACATATTTTATCAGATGTAGACAGTACATAGTAAATTTATAATTTGTTATACAAAATTAATTTGTCCCTGTATAGGCAAAAAAATAATTGCCTAAATAGATATAATGTAGGAATGTCTTAACGTAGAAAGATTGTGAAAGTGTTTTATAAGTAGTTTACATGCTTTGTTTTCGTAAATAAGCAATTTACAATATATCAAAGCAAGAACATAGTTAAAAGTCAAAAAATAGACCTATCGATAGGCCGAAGAGTGTACGGACTATGTATATGTAATCTCTCAATATCCAAAATAACTGTACCAATTCTGATAAAGTTAACACGTAATTTCTTTACACTTACAGCTGGTTTCGTCGTACCATGCGTTGCCTCTGACGAGAAATGTTTATTTGATAACCTTGATAGAGGTATAGTGGCATATAAAGATGGCATACCAGAGCTAGGAGTCGAAAAAATGGACCCAATGCACTTAAAGGAGGTAGACGCTAGTTCACCAAACCTCAAGTTTTTGCTCAAGGATCTTACAGTCACTGGGTTGAAGTCTTGCAAGCCACTCAAACTGAAGTAAGTGCATCCCTACTTATTTTATATTTTATGAAATCACTAGGTTTTACCCGCGGCTTCACTCGCGTCATAAAAGGATAAAGAGTAGCCTAGTTGACATATACCAATACACACAGCGCCATCTATACCAATACTTTTGTTTTCCCTCGGGAATATCACATTTTTCCGGGATAAAAAGTACCTTATTATTTAATCTAGACTTCTAACTTTACGTTTGTAAAAATTCAAAGCAATCGGTTTAGTAGTTACGGCGTGAAAGCGGAATAAACAAACAAACAAACAAACGCACTTTCCGATTTATAATTTAGTAAGGATGTAGTTCTTATCATTCTAATTAATCATCTCGTATTTACCATGGCTGCTTCCGTTCTAAACGTTACATTTGATAGAATCTAGCTTGTCTTCATCAATTATCATCAACAGCCTATAAAAAGCCACTGCTGACCAAATACTTCTTCTCACTCGAAGAAAGTTTGAGCATTAATAATCACGCTAGCTCAATTCGGGTTGGCGATTTTAAACGTATAATTAGAAATTATAAACCCATATTTACTCACCATGTTTTCCTTCAACGTTTGTCAGTGGCATCGAAATAAGCTTAGAAAGCACCATATAACTCGGAAAACGTCACATTGGTACTTGCTGTTGGTAGGTTTCGAACCCGAGATCCCTTATCTCGGGTTTGACTACCGGGTCAGCTAAAATATCATTGGACAATTTCTCTTTAGTACAATGGCAACGGGCTCATTCCCTAAATCATGGTACTTATAACATAACTGGTGACAGTATAAGAATCGTAGCAATAGGGATAATGACAGAGTATGAAAATTAAAAATCTATTTAGTCCGTAAGTTAGATAATAAAAAAATATTAGACTCATATTTTTTATTTGCTCGTATAATAAAATAATACTTAGATAAATTGAATCAAAGTTTAGCTAAAACGTCATTTCTACGTATAAAATGTACATAGAAGTGACGTCACGTGACATTTCAAATCAATATATCGTCGAAAGTATTTATTTTTGGAAGAAGATAAAAAATACGTGTGTAATGTTTAAAAACAATCAACCAGACGGACATTAAGATAAAAATTAGGCATCTACCCTATTGGTGTTTCATAGTCTTTGCCTACTGCCTTAGGAGACAGACGTGGGGTTATGTATGCATGGTAAAAAGAGTAAGTGCTACAATGTTTATCTGCGTCTCGCTTCGGAGATTAATAGGTTATGATAATGATGTTAATAGTATTTTGCAATCAAATGAATTTACAACTTAAAGTGTAAAGTTCTCGCACATCGCACGTGCGTGTTTAATACAACCTTTAATGCTTATCTGCTCGTTGCTTACTTAAGTCAGCATTTATTTTTATTGCAAAAACATATAAGTGATTAATGCATCTTATAGCAGGAAATTCAGTTCGCCTTTTTTATCACATTGTGTCTTACAACTAGTTCTTTATTTACAACGTTTTTATCTGTGGACCAAAAAATTGACATTAATAATTATAGTTGCATCCAAATGACATTCAATTAACATTTTGATGTATTCAATTAGAAACTCCTTGATTAAGCAAATTCAAGTGTGAAAGCTGTTTTTGCTTTTGACCTTGACAAATTTTTTCACCTTTGTTTAAAGATATTGGATTTATATCTATGACGTTTTCTTTCTACTTTGTTTCGTTTTAATTATTTTCAACTGTATTACATACATAACATCACGCCTCTTATCCCCGAAGGTGATATCCCCGGTATAGGTGCACATTACGGCACTCAATGCTACGGTACACACTACATGTAACACCCACTTTTCACTATTTATGTTATGTGTCCCATGTAATAGGGGGTGAGTCTATTGCCATATAATAGACACAATTCCAGACCTTTGCCCGACCCGGGAATCGAACCCGAGACCCCTTGCCCGGCAGTCGCACTTGCGACCACTCGGCCAACGAGACAGTCACTGTCACTGTATTTCTTCTATACAAAAAATATTAAATCGACATCAAATATCTTTCCACTCTTTTATACACCCATAATATTAATATTGCATTTTCAGTGCATAAAAATATTAATAATACGCATTATTAGCAGTATAGTGCAATATTTATACGTTACAAAGCGTTTAGACATAACATAACATCACGCCTTTTATCCCTAAAGAGGTAGGCAGAGGTGTAAACCCAGTAGTACTTTGTCAACCTGGGAATCGAACCCGAAACCCCTTGCCGGCCAACGAAGCAGCGTTTAGAATAACTTCAAATATTTATTGTCAAGTCAAAGTCAAAAATCATTTATTTCAATTAGACCAGAAAGGCACTTTTGAACGTCAGCAATAAAAATTTAAAAGTGAAACTATTTGTTCATTCCAAGGTGTAGATTCCTATGGAGAAGAACGAGCAAGAAACTCCATAGGTTACTCTTATCCAATCAGTTTCACAATACAATTCTTCAGTAACACAGTTTTATTGGTTTGATTGTGCGAGAACAATGTAACACCAAAATCTAGCCAAAGAGATTGAAGATATTTCATATTTTCTAGGCGTGATCCATCAAAGTCAACTATTGTCATAAAACTCGAATGTCCGATAAAACTCGACGGACAGTACGAGCTGGATGGGCAGGTCCTCGTGTTGAAAGTCGGTGGAAAAGGAAAAATTCACGTCTTCCTCAGTAAGTTTCATATTATCATATTTATTTTGTGTTCAGTTAAATCTTTAGTGAGAAGGATCTTGTGTAAATGTTTATTTATGATGTAATGTTTACTAATTCACTATTAATATGTATTTTTAATAGACAACGAATTACTATCAATTATGTCGAAGTGTACATAATTTATACTTCACATGTATACATTTTATGATTTATTTATTTATTTATCATCTAGAAAATATTTATACATACTTACCTGTAACATAGAAAAGGGGTTTATCAATCTAATCAAGATTCTAAAGCTTCCATACAATTCGCATACAAAATATTAAAAATATTTAACACACATTTTGCTGTTATTTGTAAAATCTAAAATAAGTCAGAAAGTATAATTTTTATTTTTTCATTAAGCCTAATGATTACACAAAACCTAAAAGTGAACTAGGTACAATGTTTTAAAAGTAAACGCACTGTATAATTCTTTTATAAACTAACCTTTAAAAAAACCGAATTCAAGCCCCTATTTTTTTTAAACCGGCTAACTAATATAATTAAACCTTCCCCAAGTGTAACAAACACTTAACTGAAAACCGCATCAAAATCGGTTGAACCAATCGCGAGATAATTGCGCACACATATACATATAGGTTAAACTCAGAACCTGCTTTTTTTCTATATGAAGTCCAAACCTTCTTTAATAATACAAACTCTTTTTTATAGAAAAACTGGATATCGAGGTGATCTTGGATATTGTGAAGAAGGAAAAGAACGGTGAAGAATACATGAAAGTCAAGAAATTCACTCACTCCTATGAACTGAAGGAGAAGTCCGACCTTGTGTTTGAAGGGTTATTCCAGGAGAACAAAGTTTTAAGTAAGTTTCAGAACAATATGATTGACTATCTGTTTTAACATGTACCTTTAATGTCATTTTCTTTGCATTTGCTATGGAGAGAAAATTCTTGCATGGAGTGTAAGAAAAGCTTAAAAATAAACGAAATTATATAATCATATCACCCATAAAATTACCACACCACCATTCATAATTTCGCTTACAATCAGGTGATCCGTCTACTCGACTTCCTATTTCATAATAAAATCATCCAATGACTTAATCTTGGTTTTCCAAAAACCGTCCAAAAACCGGTTGGCGCGGTGGCTGGGCAACTGGCTTCCGCGCAACGTGTCGCGGGTTCGATTCCTGCACGGAACAACAATCTGTGTGATCCACAGATTGTGTGATCCACAGATTGTTGTTCCGGGTCTGGATGTCATGTGTATGTTTTATTGTATGTTTGTAAACTCACCTACGACATAGGAGAAACTACTAGTGTGGGGCAACGTTTTTAAAAAAAAAAACAATATCGACCAAAATCTAACTCATGTCCTTTATTCCAGATGAAGCTGCCAAAGATTTGATCAACAACAGTCCTAATGAAATCATCAATGAAATCGGGGGCGGACTATTCACAGCGTGTATCACTGAAGTTGTTAAAAATGTCAACAACATGTTCTCTCATATTCCTACCAAACAGCTTGTTCTGGATTGAGTTATTGTTGTATAATTGATACATTAAAACACCGACTTTATTTGTTAATGGTAGTTTTTTTCTTGGTTCTCCTTTACTCCTTTTTTCTGTTCAAAGCTCTACACGAAATTTGGACTATTATGTGACACTCGCTGTATAGGACTTACATTCCACCGGTGAAATCGAGTGTTCACCCCAGTGCTTGGTATATATTATAAAAAATATATATATATAATTCTTCTAAAGCAAAGATCCAAAATATCGTGGTGGCCGGGACAAAAATGTTGTATTTCTTTTCAAAAATGTTGTACACGTTCGAGATTTTCGATGAGCGTAGCGAGAGGATTTACCGTGTCGTGGTAGACCGAAGATAAAGGCTGGATATCGAATAAAAGCGTAAGGATATCGGCGTCTCAACTCTTCTAATGTATAGGATGCGGGTTCGAAACCTACCAACGGCAAGTACCAATGTGACTTTTTCCGAGTTATATGTACTTTCTAAGATTATTCAGACACCACTGACAAACGGTGAAGGAAAACATCGTGAGGAAACCTGGGCTTGTAATTTCTAATTATAAGTTTGTAATTGCCAACCCGTATTGAGTAAGCGTGGTGATTAATACTCAAACCTTCTCCGTGTGAGAAGAGGCTTTGCTCAGCAGTGGGCATTTATAGGCTGTTGATGAATGATGATGTAAGATCCAAAACTACCAGCCATGTGGTTAAAAACCGTTAGAGGAAGATTCTAGAATAAATATACTCAAAACACAAATTCAAGGTCATTTTGAGTTCAATGTAAAATTACTTATCTGTGACATTTTACATACCTATAATAAAAAAGTACCGTTTATTTACCTATATAATGTAAACACTACTTATTGTTATGTCTACAATTTTTGTTTTTAAATTATTGTAGTGTGTATTTGACTTTTTCTTTTAGTCTAATATTCATATACTTAATATAATATGCTTACACTTACGCCATTATACCATGCTGGAAAACAGAAACTACAGATGACTGAATAGGGTAGATGACTAATTTTTATTTTAATGTTCGTCTGATAGATTATTTAAAAACATAAGACACGTATTTTTTATTTTCTTATGGAAACGAATAATTTCGAAGATATATTGATTTGAAATATCGCACTACGTCACTTTTGAGTACGATTTATACTCTAAAATGACGTAGATACCTCCCACTCCTAAACTTTGTTTCGTTTTATCTAAGTACTATTATTTTCTTCTACGACAAAACGAACGAACTAATTAGATTTTTCAATTTTAATACCCTGTCATCATCCCTATTACGACCGTAAGACACTTCTTTAGCTCACATGTTATTCATGCTTCTGCATATATAGGTGTAAAAGGAACGCTCCCGAAACTCTGACGAAAAGAAATTGTTTTTACAATTTTAATCGGTTTTGTTTTCATGCAACATCAGCTTTTAGCAGTTGATAGTTGAGTTAGATAGTTGTACTATCTTGATATATAAAAATGAAACCCGTTTCCCGTTGTCATCCCATAACTTGAGAACGGCTAGACCGATTTGGCTGATTTTTTATTTTGGTGGGTTTTTTATCGTCAGGAGAACCTTCTTATGACAGAAAAAAGTCCTGAAAATCCTACTGGAATGGGAGAAACGGGATTGCGCGTACGAATTCGCGGGCAGAAGCTAGTTATTACATAAAAAGAAATATTAAATTACTCGTTTTATGAAAATAGAACTTGTTACACATTATAAATTTTTATTTTTTTTTAAATATGGCATGCAGCTATCTGGACTACCGCTACCTGTTATTAGAAAGCATTTTATAATAATAAGACATTTATGGTTGAAAATGTCCAGAACAAGTTTAATTGTACATGCTTCTTCATCTTCACGTATACTGAAGTCGATACGTACGTAATAAAAATAATAATATACCTTACAATGCATTTACTTATGTATGTATACCAAACAACCGCTAGAGCAATAAACGCCTGTTAAATGTTTTACCGAATCTTGTAGGATGTATTACCGTCAATGTGATAAATAGCAAAGACATTACCCTCGCGGTCTAAGGCACTTACTTAACGGAGTATTGAACTCTTGCTGCAGAATCGACCTAGGTATCATAATTCGTGACATTTTTTTTTCAGGTTATGAGGTAACTTTTTCACACATGTTATGAGCACCTGGGTTTGCTTGTCCAGCTCTTTTTTGGATGAATAAAATTGGAATAAAACAAAAATGTTGTATTTTTTTTCAAAAATCTTGTACACGTTCGAGGTTTTCGATGAGAGTAGCGAGAGGTTTTTACCATGTCGTAATAGCCTCAAAGTAAAGACCGAATACCGGTTATGGCGTCTCAACTCCTCTCATGTATGAGAATGCGGGTTCGAAACCTACTAACGGCAAGTACCAATGTGACTTTTTCCGAGTCATATTATGTACTTTCTATGATTATTTAGACACCACTGACTATCGGTGGAGGAAAACATCGTGAGGAAACATGGGTTTATAATTTTTAATTACTACATATGAAGTCTACAACCTGGATTAAGTAAGCGTGGTGATTACTATTAAGCTCAAACCTTCTCTTTTGGTCAGCAGTGGCCACCTGTAGGCTGTTGATGTATGATGTAAATATGAGATTTTTTACTGCCTCATTGGCCGAGTGGTCGCAAGTGCGACTGCCGGGTAAGGGGTCTCGGGTTCGATTCCTGGGTCGGGCAAAGTATTACTGGGTTTTTATAAATCTCAGTAGTAGCACGGAGTCTGGAAAAATGTGCCCGGTATATGGCAATAGGCTCACCCCCTATTACATGGGACTCATAACATAAATAGTGAAAAGTGGGTGTTACATTGTACAGTGGCATTAAGTGCCGAAATGTGCACCTCTGCCTACCTCTTCGGGGATAAAAAGGCGTGATGTTATGTTATGTTATGTAAACCGACAAAATTGTTAAAGTAACCAATCAGTCAATGAAGTTATTGGCAAATTGTGATTTTGTGTGGACTAAGGGAGATCCCTTAGTTCAGCGATGTTGCGTCTAAAAGAGAATTAGCTACAAAGGTATGATGTAGTTAAAAAAATTAATATTTTGAATTACAATATTTCAATAATGTTGAAAAACAGAAAACGTTTATTTAAAGCTTATTTAAATTAAATTAATGCGATGATCGATATCCACGTAAGTAGTAAAACGACTCCACAAGTAAAAACGCCAAGTAAGCTTGTACACTAGTAAAAATAGTCTGAACAAAAAAGAAATGCCGGGCAAATGAACCCAAAAAATCGGAGATACTATGTCAACGAACTATTAAATTTTTATTTATGATATTATTAAAGGCTTTACAAACGACCTAGTTTGTGTACCAAGTATATGTACGTATGTGGGTTTCAGTTATATATACGCAGGGAAATCTCGGAACTGTACGGTTGTGCTCAGTGAACAATTTCATTTTGAAAAAATGTATTCAAAATATTTATTTGTTGCACTTTTACTTAGCGTTGCATACACCGCTGACGCGGCTTACGGTATGTATTTTAATTTGTACTTAATACATCATTGGATATCAAAATATACAAAAGAACGTTATAATAGATTTAATTTTTTTGTACATTTTACAAATTGCCTATAATAAAAACATTAGCATATTTTATTAAAATTTCTTTTATAAAAACGCCGTCCATTTTAATATTTATGAGCAGTATCTAGTCATAACATTGGATTTTATATACATTCTGTGATAAAAAAAATATAAACACAAGTCCTAATACATTAGACAACATTTTCATATAAAACTTCTTTTACAGCACCTTTTATAGAAAAATGTAAATGGGACGATTCGAAATGCATTAAGGCAACGGCACAAAATGCTATCCCGATCCTTGCCGCCGGTATTCCAGAGCTGGGAGTGGAAACACTGGACCCCTTCAGCATGAAAACTTTGGACGCTAGCTCGCCTACCCTTAAGCTGCTTCTTTGGAACATTACTGGCACTGGACTTAAGGACTGCATCGCCAAAAAAGTGCAGTAAGTATAATATTTCTTGTTATTCTTGTAATCAGAAGAATATTATAGATTAGACTAGTTCGTCTACACGATTGGCGCAGTGGCTCGACAGGCAACTAGTTGCTCCGGGTCTGGGTGTCATATGGAATGTGATACTTACTCACGACACAGGAGAAAATCTTAGTGTGGAACAAAGCTTTTTTCAAACATAGATTTGTTCCGGTAACTTTGTCTAGTACTGTATCTGATTTACATAATAATATATCAGAACAATACAATGCGTGGACTCTAAAAAACAAACACCTGTTATTGAGTCACATGAGTTTTTCTTCCTTTAGACTTCTCCAATATTTTGATCAAGATCGTGGTTTAGGGAACGAAAATTACAAATTGTTGTATTTTTTACTGCAACTATAACATTTTGTCCGAGTGTGTCGCTTGGAAAACCTTCGTTTGTATATTTTCAATATAAAGGAAATATAACATACTTTTCTTTTCCAGGCGTGATATTGGAAAATCGAAAATCACTGTGAAACTGCAGTGCAGCGTCGACTTTGTTGGGAAATATGAGATGAAAGGACGTATGCTCATGCTGCCTATTGAAGGAAAGGGAGACGCTCACGTTGTACTCAGTAAGTCCACATAATTATTATATTTATTAACACCCTAGAAATATTTTCCTTAGATAATTATTTATAGTTATAAGAAAATGTAATGATCATTAGGGCTATTTGTACTCTAAAAACCACTACCTAGAACAGTGAAAATGACATGTAATAATTATGAAAAAACTGCAAGCAATGGAAGTTCTATAGATAAACAAATATTCTCACGACAAATTATTAAAAAAATATTTTAAATATCCTTTTACTAATCATTCCAATGTTCTATTATACAGGGAAAGTAGTGATCACCACTGACGTTGATATCGGTGACAACCTTGGCCGTGATGGAGAGAAACACTGGAGCATCAAGAACTGGAAACACACTTACGATGTCAAAGAAAAGTCTACCAT